CTGTGAAGCTCTTGTTGTATCTGTCCACAACAATCCAAAGTTGAAGAACATTTTCTTCCTCTACAGATTTCCATCTTCAAACGTCAGTGACTTTCTGAATAATGTTGGGAAAATACTGCCAGAAAGCAGCTTGAAGCAATGTCTAGTGCTTGGTGACTTCAATAATGACAGAGGGACACCTAGGGGAAAATAACTGGAGGATGTTATGACTGCTCTTGGATTTGTACAGTGCGTCACCAAGGCCACAACCATCTATGGATCTTGTTTGGACCATGTCTACAAATCTTCACACGATGGACAGCTCACTGTTGACATACTTCCTAACTACTACTCCGATCATTTCACCATATGTCTGCATTTGTAGCAGCTGAAAAGAAGGAACATTTTACACCTGATCAGAGTCATTGGATGCAAGCCCCAGGAGTTACATCATCTCAACTCTGAGGAAAGCGAACATTATATGGAATCACTTGTCAAGAATTTTGAAGATATGTTGATCAATCTTTGTTTTATGACTAAAAAACTCTCAGTTGCTCAGTTTTTAACAAACAAGCCCATCTCAACTCCATGGAAATAATTATGGACTTAAACAGATAAACAGTGTGAGGTGTGCAATAATATCATGTCATGGAACAGTTAACTTTTGACCTGCCATAATAAATGTGTTCCAGAATATGCCAAAACTTATCACTTTAGCTTCTACAGCAATCTATTGCTTTCACCTGCCTCCACAGTGATATTGCTATTGCTAGTTTATGAACCCTTCATGATATAGGTTTAATTGTGACATACATTTACAAATAAGTATTTACCTTGGACACTTTGGATATATTTATTTTAAAATCAACCATGATTTTTATTTAGTAGAAATTAATCACCAGAGCACACTCAGTGTAGGGAACTCTTCCTACAGCAGCGGGGGCATCTGTGTCCCTGGACACAATTTTTTCTTGTTTGATTTATTATTTTCTGACTTAGTCTCAAAAGGGACGGGTGAGCTTCATTTCCGGAGCAGAATTGAGAAACCATTCAATATCTTTCTACAAGACTTGACAGATATATTAAACAGATCTTGAAGTATTGCCTTTTGCTATTTGCAGATTTTTGGCATTTTTATTTTTCATGATTTCCATGGAAACGATTTGGACTTACTCCCCCAAAAAATCAAGTTGGAATTTAAGTAACTGTCAGTTGATTTGTTATCCCACCGGCATATAATGCGGTGGGATATAGTCGTCGCCTCGTCCGTCTGTCCGTCCGTCCGTCCGTAATCATTTTGTTTCCGGATCATAACTCAAAGACCGTTCGATATTTTTTAACCAAAATTGGTAGATATGTCAAAAATAACCTAAGGTGGTGCCTTTTGCTATTTACAGATTATTGTCATTTTTATTTTTCTCGGTTTCCATGGAAACGTTTTGGACTTAGTCTTAAAGAAGGGTGGGCTTCGTTTCCGGAGCATAACTCAAGAACCGTTCAATATTTTTCAACAAAACTTGGTAGATATATCAAACAGATCCTAAAGTGGTGCCTTTTGCATTTCACAGATTTTGGCATTTTTATTTTTCCGGTTTCCATGGAAGCGATTCGGACTTAGTCCCAAAAGTGAGGGGGTGGGCTTCGTTTCCGGGCATAACTCAAGAACCATTCAATATTTTTCAACAAAACTTGGTAGATATATCAAACAGATCCTAAAAGTGGTGCCTTTTGCTATTTGCAGATTTTGGCATTTTTATTTTTCCTGGTTTCCATGGAAACGATTCGGACTTAGTCCCAAAAAGTGAGTAAGGGTGGGCTTCGTTTCCAGAGCATAACTCAAGAACCGTTCAATATTTTTCAACAAGACCTGGTAGATATATCAAACAGAACCTTAAGTGGTGCCTTTTGCTATTTGCAGATTTTTGGCATTTTTATTTTTCCCGGTTTCCATGGAAACGATTCGGACTTAGTCCCAAAAGTGAGGGGTGGGCTTCGTTTCCGGAGCATAACTCAAGAACCGTTCAATATTTTTCAACAAAACTTGGTAGATGTATGAAACAGAACCTTAAGTGGTGCCTTTTGCTATTTGCCGATTTTTGGCATTTTTATTTTTCTTGGTTTCCATGGAAACATTTTGGACTTAGTCTCAAAAAGTAAGGATTGCTTTCAAGCTTTCGAGCACAACTCAAAACCATTATAATATTTTTCAACAAAACTTGATAGATATATCAAACAGATCCTAAAGTTGTGCCTTTTGCTATTTGCAGATTTTGGCATTTTTATTTTCCGGTTTCCATGGAAACGATTCGGACTTAATCAAAAGTGAGGGTGGGCTTCGTTTCGAGCACAACTCAAAAACCTCTATATCTTTCAGCAAAACTTGGCAGATATGTGAGGCAGATATTGAAGTGATGCCTTTTGCTATTTGCAAACGCGAAAACTTCTTAATATCTTTCAAAACTTTATGGGGAGGCAGATTTGTCATCTTTTGATGATTTATTTGTTATGATCAACACTAGCTTGAGGGAGACTAAAATCAAACTGGTAAGTAACTGTCAGATATTTGGACAATATGAATAGATGTTTGTGAATTCAGCTTGTTTAACCACCAGTTCAAAGCCTGACTCCATGAATTATCCCCCACCACACGTTTAGCTCAAAGCCGGGCATATAGTATTAGGCTCCATACGTGTATGAATTGGAATATCTTAAGAACCGTTGACTAGAATCTTTTCATATTTGGTACATAGGTTCATCACAGTATGCAATTTCCCAGTCAGGTTTGGTGACCTTGACCTTGATTTTCACTTTGAAGATTTCAGGTTGTTAACGGTCACATGCAACGTAAAACACAACTTTGCAGATTCTGATACCTTTTGGTATGGACTTACCGAAACAAATGATCAAAAATGCAAATTCAACTTATAAAGTTGAAAAATAACGCGATGAAAACCCCCCTGCGAAATCGTAGTTCAAACGATTCACTAACTTTCCCCCAGCGCTTGGGGGAATTGAAGTGGTTTCAACAGCTGGGCTGCGCTCATAGCACATGCGCAGTGAAATAGGTTCGCGGAGCTTGGAAGCGGGTTGTCCGGTGAATATTCGGTGAAGGCTTTGGTGTGAGCTATTTTTCTAATGTTTTGTTGATATTTCACAGGCGCGAGCTTTTTATATGTTATTACAGTAGATTACCGATTTAACTGTTTATATAATTTCATTTGTCTATTTCACCACACGTCCTTCTTACCGAGTCACTTTCTCAGTTCGATACTTAAATGCAATGTCATTATTTAGCGTCGACAGAATTTCTAACAGTGATATAGATATGTCGTTGTCACAGACAAAACTCAATGTCTGTTTTATTGGCACCTATGTGTCTGCCTGCCCGTCTGCTAATGACAATATTCAATACACAATTTCAATCACTGACCACATGCAATTTGAACTTAACACCTATCAGGCTATACACCATAAACAAAACGCATTGATTTATGGCCCGAGTTCGGTCTCTGTCACATTATATCATTACACAGACAGGCAGGTGTGATACTTGTACACATGACATGTTATGATGTCTGTTGGTTGCAAAATGTTATACACAAAAATTGAGCATGTATTTACAAAACCCAACATTTCTATATATACACACACAATGAGCCATGAGGGCATCTGCAAATGAACCAGCCGTTACACTTGAGTGCACACCCACCCACTCTGACTGGGTTCGGTATCCCGGGTGCCTCGTTTCTTGGGAAGTAAACCCAAGTACCAAATATTGCACTTTTGATTTGCGATTGTACGCTTATAATTTTGTTTTTATGTTTTTTCATAACCAGCAATGTATATTATATGTCATGAATAGTGATAATTGTGTTTTAATTATGTTTGATTTTTTGGTTGCATGTGGCCTTTAAACTTGTCAGCGAGACATCTCACAAACGATTCACTGTAGTTATCCCCTGCAACACGTTTTGCGGGGGGTATTAAAAATTGACTTCGTCCGTGCGTGCGTCCTTCCGTGCACATTTGTCTTTTCCGGAGCAGAACTCTAAAACCGTTCACTATTTCTTCACCAAACTTGGCACATAGATTGGTCTGGTGGTGTACTGGTGCCTTTTGTTAGTTTTGGAATTCTGAATAAAATATTTTTGGCATTTCCATGGCAACAAGTGTGACTTAGCCTGAAATTGGTGGTAGTGCTCTTTTCCGGAGCTGAACTCTAAAACCGTTCCTTATTTCTTCACCAAACTTGGCACATAGATTGGTTTGGTGGTGTACTGGTGCCTTTTTGGTAGTTTTGGAATTCTGAATAAAATATTTTTGGCTTTTCCATGGCAACAAGTTTGACATAGACTGAAATTGGTGATAGTGCTCCTTTCTGGAGCAGAACTTTAAAAACCTTTCAATACTCTCCTTCCACTTTTCTATATACACACCTAAATATTTGACATAATCATAACTCGTAGACATAATCATGAAGAGTATTTTGCCATTGAGGGGGATATTGATGACTTTGTCTTCTTGTTAAGTTTGATTTGATAATTTGCGGTGGGCGATTATGTCACCGTAGTGACAATGTTTGTCCCTGCCCTGATCCTCCTTCTGTTGACACTTTCCGCACTACTTGCCTAAACCCTTCTACTGTGATTGCAACTTGCGTAATGTAACTTAGACTTCAGATAGTCATAGTGCTAAGTTCACTTTGTGCAAGTCAGGGCGCTGGGGTAGCCTAGTGGTTAAAGCGTTGGCTCGTCACGCCGAAGACCCGGGTTCGAATCCCCACATGGGTACAATGTGTGAAGCCCATTTCTGGTGTTCCCAGCCATGATGTTGCTGGAATATTGCTAAAAGTGGCGTAAAACCAAACTCAGTCAGTCAGTTGTGCAAGTCAGCTTGAACAAGTTAAGGTAAGTTGGTTTTAAAATGGTTTGACTGTGTATGTTGCATTAAGTTAAGATTTCAGTTGCTGCATCTGTTTTGTACTTTTAGTCAGACATTGCATACTCTGTTTGTAATTGTAGGTCTCTGTACGAGCTTGACTTCATGCAGTCAAAGCCAGCCCGTGGCTTCTACAAGTTGACTATTTCCGTTTCCCCCCAGAAGTCTGATAGTCGTCTTATTGGCACCTCAGGAGCTGAGGTAGGTGTCAGATTGCCTGGTTGCTTCATGTAAACGTTTTACTCTTATATGATGCAGGAGCTTAACTGTTTGAAAAAGAGATTCACATTGCTATTTGTTTCACTATATGTTCATGCATGCTGTTTGTCAGGTGGATGTCAAGGTGACAACTCAAGTGTCTGTTGAGAATGTGGAGATAGGTGTTGCAGATAAGGACCAGACCACTGCAGCCAGGACCACAAAGTATGAACCATCCTTTTCACCTCTAATGTATTGTGTCACATAGCTTTGCCAATGTTTTTGTGTGAATTGTTATATTGTCTTTATTGCTGTTATTAGATGCAAATATTTCATTGTTCATTCTCAGTATTTCATAAGACACCAGGATTGCTCCTCCTTTGAGTGGCATTTAGAAGCTTGTCTATCCATTAAAAACCGTTCCTGTTCATTGGCATTGCTCGTATGTCATAAGATGCCACTATGTGGATTTGGTGGTCAAGCTCAGTTGAGTGTTGTATTTCATTAAGAGATTGTCATCTCCAGACTGTTTTAGCTGGTTTACTGTGTCTTGGGTGCACCAAATAAAAACATAATATAACTTCTTTCATCAGGATTGTGCACCCAAGCAAGGCAGCCAAAACTCAAGAAGCTGACTCCCACCAGAAGATTATTATGAAGTTCCAGTTGAAGGACAAAGTGTCAGGCAAGCTCATTACAGCTCATCAGGTCAGTGGCTTGCTTTCACTGAAAAGGTAAAACAGTGTCCTCCTGAGGCAGAAGCCATTTCAACATGAATTTGTAGACCAAAGAGTTAGTCATCAGGAATGTTCATGAATCAGTGGTGGTCTGTTTTTGATGTTTCTGGATCGCTGACATTCTCAGATGGTTATCATATCTAGCACATCTGTTTCAAGTATTGCGGGGGGTATTAAAATGGACTCCGTCCGTGCGTCCGTGCACATTTGTCTTTTCCGGAGCAGAACTCTAAAAGTGTTCTCTATTTCTTCACCAAACTTGGCACATACATAGATCTGGTGGTGTACTGGTGCCTTTTGGTAGTTTTGGAATTCTGAATAAAATATTTTTGGCGTTTCTATGGCAACAAGTTCGACGTAGACTGAAATTGGTGGTAGTGCTCTTTTCCGGAGCAGAACTCTCAAACCGTTCAATATTTCTTCACCAAACTTGGCACATACATAGATCTGGTGGTGTACTGGTGCCTTTTGGTAGTTTTGGAATTCTGAATAAAATATTTTTGGCGTTTCCATGGCAACAAGTTCGACTTAGACTGAAATTGGTGGTAGTGCTCTTTTCCGGTGCAGAACTCTAAAACCGTTTACTATTTCTTCACCAAACTTGGCACATAGATTGGTCTGGTGATGTACTGGTGCCTTTTGGTAGTTTTTTTAAAATATTTTTGAATTTCCTGAATAAAATGAAATTTTGGCTTTTCCATGGCAACAAGTTTGACATAGACTGTAAATTGGGTTTTGATAGTGCTACGCCTGGCAACAAGTTTCTGGAGCAGAACTTTATAAACCTTTCAATACTCTCCTTCCACTTTTCTATATACACACCTAAATATTTGACATAATCATAACTCGTAGACATAATCATGAAGAGTATTTTGCCATTGCGGGGGATATTGATGACTTTGTCTTCTTGGTTTTTATCCCACCGGCATGTAATGCGGTGGGATATAGTCGTCGCCTCGTCCGTCTGTCCGTCCGTCCGTACGTCCGTAATCATTTTGTTTCCGGAGCATAACTCAAAGACCGTTCGATATTTTTCAACCAAAATTGGTAGATATGTCAAACATAGCCTAAGGTGGTGCCTTTTGCTATTTACAGATTATTGTCATTTTTATTTTTCTCGGTTTCCATGGAAACGTTTTGGACTTAGTCTTAAAGAAGGGTGGGCTTCGTTTCCGGAGCATAACTCAAGAACCGTTCAGTATTTTTCAACAAAACTTGGTAGATATATCAAACAGATCCTAAAGTGGTGCCTTTTGCTATTAACAGATTTTTGGCATTTTTATTTTTCCCGGTTTCCTTGGAAACGATTCGGACTTAATCCCAAAAAGTAAGGATTGCTTTCGTTTCCGGAGCACAATTCAAAAAACGTATAATATTTTTCAACAAAACTTGGTAGATATATCAAACAGATCCTATAGTTGTGCCTTTTGCTATTTGCAGATTTTCAGTATTTTTATTTTTCCCGGTTTCCATGGAAACGTTTTGGACTTAGTCTTAAAGAAGGGTGGGCTTCGTTTCCGGAGCATAACTCAAGAACCGTTAAGTATTTTTCAACAAAACTTGGTAGATATATCAAACAGATCCTAAAGTGGTGCCTTTTGCTATTAACAGATTTTTGGCATTTTTATTTTTCCCGGTTTCCTTGGAAACGATTCGGACTTAATCCCAAAAAGTAAGGATTGCTCTCGTTTCCGGAGCACAATTCAAAAAACGTATAATATTTTTCAACAAAACTTGGTAGATATATGAAACAGAACCTTAAGTGGTGCCTTTTGCTATTTGCAGATTTTTGGCATTTTTATTGTTCTTGGTTTCCATGGAAACATTTTGGACTTAGTCTCAAAAAGTAAGGATTGCTTTCGTTTCCGGAGCACAACTCAAAAACCGTATAATATTTGTGATTTATTATTTTCTCAGTTTCCATGGAAACAATTTGGACTTAGTCTCAAAAGGGAGGGGTAGGTTTTGTTTCCGGAGCACAACGCGAAAACTTCTTAATATCTTTCAGCAAAACTTGGCAGATATGTGAGGCAGATCCCAAAGTGGTGCCTTTTGCTATTTGCAGATTTTTGTCATTTATTTTTTTCATGATTTCCATGGAAACGATTTGCACTTAGTCTAAAATCAAGCTGGACTTTAAGTAACTGTCAGATGATTTGTTCTTTCAAAGATGTGGGGGCCGGGGGGATATGTCATCTTCTGATGACTCTTGTTTTTATCCTGTCTTTTTCATTTTGTACTGGGTGCATTTTATCAGATGCAGATGGTTCATATTAAGGGATACAGTGCAAGTCTTTAACTCTGCATAATACTCAAAACAGTGATACTGTCAAATGGGCATTATTCACATGTTAACTGGGATGCAATGTAATCCTATTTTTCATGTATGACTGCAGGCCTTTGTCAGACTAACCAATGTGCAGACCAAGCAGGAGATTATCTTTGTGACTGAAGCAGATTCTTCACAAACCATGAAGTTTGACTTGGTAAGTAAGAACTGAAAATAGGTTTATCACCTGAAGCAAGTACATTTTGTGAAAATAATCTAATGATATGTTGTTTTTAAGCATTCCGGAAGTATGGAAACATGTTACCTGTAGTATGTGTCTTCTGTGAATGTTGACAGGATGTTGGTGCCAGTGCCAAGGAATTTGGCTACTTATCTGGGAAATACAGCATGGAGCTCATTGTTGGTGATGCTGTTATTGAAAATCCTTTCTCCTGGATCCTGGTGAGAAATGTTGTGGGCGTGTAAGGCAGGGTGATTTGCCCTACCATTTAGAGATTCTGTTCTTGAAATTTGTTTATTGCAAGTTGAAGTTTGTGGCAAGATTTTAACATAATTAATTTCTGACATGTTTAGGTCTTTATTGCCTCAAAATGTTATGGCATAAGAGTGTTTTACTGTTGTTCTACAAATATAATCCTTGACATCCGTTCCGGGACATGTTTAGAAATGTTGTTGGTGCAAGAAACGAATTCTTAGATCTTGTAGAGGTGTTTTTAATAGGAGTTAAGAATGGTGTTAAAGATATTGCATATAAGTCTTAAAATGCTGTTTTCAGTTCAGTTCCACAAAATATGCAAACTTTGATAGTGTGTAAGGCTTTAACAAACAGGATTCCTTTATATAGCCTTTGTAATAATATTATCATTTTGTCTAAAGCTCACAACAACCACTCTGTGTGTCTGTGTCCAGAATGGAGAACCTGTATTGATACTGTAGCTAAAAATGTCTTCTTGTGTGTTAGGCGGATGTCCAGCTTACCTTCCCAGAGGGAGCTGCATCAGTGGGAGAGGCACAGAGCCAGTATGCCAAGAAACCTGAAATCAAGGTAAGCCCAGGTTATGTTGGAGAAGTCTGACCTTTACTATTGTATATTTGTATTATCTTTCTTGCTCAATGTTGAAATCCAATTTTTTAAGTGACCTAGCCATTTTCTAACCTTTGGCATAGGGCTCCATGAAATCACTAGGTCAAATACATAACAGAGTTCCTTCTTCCCTCAGCACTAAACAGAAAAAACTCAGGTCTCTAAGAATAAAAAGAAATTTTTGGTTTAGGGCTGCCATCTTTTTAGTGCACATGGTTCGAAGGCTATCGTTCCGGGAGACATGAACTTTACTGTGACATGATGATAGTTTACAATCATATATTCCTCTTGTGCAGCTGGTAATGAAATGTTTTCTTGACACTGCAGCATAAGTTCCATCCTGAAGAGAAGCGTCCACCGACTGTGGTGTCCCTTGCCTTCACAGCACTGGTGCTGCTGCCGATCCTTGTGTTGCTGGGTCTGGTCAGTATCACACCAACTGTGTAGTACTCCACAAATGTTGTCTGGCAGTGGTAATACACTAGTAATACATGACATGTGTAATCAGGGCCATCAATAAAACAGAGCTTATGTAGTAACACAACAGTTACACCACTAACACACGCTCCAGTAATACATCAACAATAGTTCCATAGCATTAATGTACCACTGCTACATTCTGGCAGCAGTAACACACCACCGCTACGTTCTGGCAGCAGTAACACACCACCGCTACGTTCTGGCAGCAGTAACACACCACCGCTACGTTCTGGCAGCAGTAACACACCACCGCTACGTTCTGGCAGCAGTAACACACCACCGCTACGTTCTGGCAGCAGTAACACACCACCGCTACGTTCTGGCAGCAGTAACACACCACCGCCACACGTTCTGGCAGCAGTAACACACCACCGCTTACGTTCTGGCAGCAGTAACACACCACCGCCACGTTCTGGCAGCAGTAACACCACCACTGGCAGCAGTAACACACCACCGCTTCACGTTCTGGCAGCACGCTCTGGCAGCAGTAACACACCACCGCTACGTTCTGGCAGCAGTAACACACCACCGCTACGTTCTGGCAGCAGTAACACACCACCGCTACAGTCTGGCAGCAGTAACACACCACCGCTACGTTCTGGCAGCAGTAACACACCACCGCTACGTTCTGGCAGCAGTAACACACCACCGCCACATTCTCTGGCAGCAGTAACACACCACCGCCACGCTCTGGCAGCAGTAACACACCACCGCTACAGTCTGGCAGCAGTAACACACCACCGCTTACGTTCTGGCAGCAGTAACACACCACCGCCACGTTCTGGCAGCAGTAACACACCACATTCGCCACGTTCTGGCAGCAGTAACACACCACCGCTACGTTCTGGCAGCAGTAACACACCACCGCTACGTTCTGGCAGCAGTAACACACCACCGCTACGTTCTGGCAGCAGTAACACACCACCGCTACGTTCTGGCAGCAGTAACACACCACCGCTACGTTCTGGCAGCAGTAACACACCACGCTCTGGCAGCAGTAACACACCACCGCCACGTTCTGGCAGCAGTAACACACCACCGCTACGTTCTGGCAGCAGTAACACACCACCGCTACAGTCTGGCAGCAGTAACACACCACCGCTACGTTCTGGCAGCAGTAACACACCACCGCTACGTTCTGGCAGCAGTAACACACCACCGCTACGTTCTGGCAGCAATAACACACCACCGCTACGTCTGGCAGCAGTAACACACCACCGCTACGTCTGGCAGCAGTAACACACCACCGCTACGTTCTGGCAGCAGTAACACACCACCGCTACGTTCTGGCAGCAGTAACACACCACCGCTACGTCTGGCAGCAGTAACACACCACCGCTACGTTCTGGCAGCAGTAACACACCACCGCTACGGTCTGGCAGCAGTAACACGTTCCGCCACGCTCTGGCAGCAGTAACACACCACCGCTACGTTCTGGCAGCAGTAACACACCACCGCTACGTTCTGGCAGCAGTAACACACCACCGCTACGTTCTGGCAGCAGTAACACACCACCGCTACAGTCTGGCAGCAGTAACACACCACCGCTACGTTCTGGCAGCAGTCTGGCAAGTAACACCACCGCTACGCTCTGGCAGCAGTAACACACCACCGCCACGTTCTGGCAGCATTAACACACCACCGCCACTGGCAGCTAACACACCACCGTTCTGGCAGCAGTAACACACCACCGCTACAGTCTGGCAGCAATAACTCAACCACCGCTACAGTCTGGCAGCAGTAACACACCACCGCTACGTTCTGGCAGCAGTAACACACCACCGCTACGTTCTGGCAGCAGTAACACACCACCGCTACGTTCTGGCAGCAGTAACACACCACCGCTACAGTCTGGCAGCAATAACACACCACCGCTACAGTCTGGCAGCAATAACTCACCACTGCTACAGTCTGGCAGCAATAACTCAACCACTGCTACAGACTGACAGCAATAACCTGCTACCATTTGGCTGCAGTGATGCTGTTGTTATAGTCCTTCTTTAGTCTTGCTGTGACATCCATACTGTCTTTTTTGTTGTGGTTATATTTCGGATTGATGTGAAAGGGGAGCTAGGCAGAAATGCTTGTAATATGTTTGTGGAATGTGTCTTGTACGATCTCATTTGCACTATACCACTTTTCATTATCTACAATGTACGCGCTTCCAGAAGAGTGAAACAAGAAACACTAGTTACAATATCAGTTTAAGCATATTACCGTAGTTCTCCACTGAAAGAGCAGAAAACATTCTCAGTTCAGTTCAAGAAGTGTGAATACTTAATAATACCATTTGAATGTCTTACAGGACACAGAATGGCCTGATTGAAGCTTACCAAATGGCTTCCTATTCTTGGGGTTTTGAACTTAACACTTTTTTTAAATAAAGAATTGGCCAGAAATGAAGCATAGCAGCACTGTTTCTCTGCACATACCAATGTTGACATCCAGTGTTCAGGCCCTGCCTGTTACAATGTATGTCTGTGTGGTAGATGGGAGCTGAGAACCCGTTTGGGTGTGAGGTATATGCCCTTTCCACAACAACAACCAGTCCCCCATTGTTTGTTGGGTGTGGGCTGGCTCCTGCATATTCCATAGACTTCTCTGAGCCACTGTGTGGCAGTGACAGGGGAGACAAACCATGCAGGAGACATCTTATTCACTGGGACTGCCTCAATATTTTTTGGTGTAAATTTTATTACAGAGCACAGAAATTTACTGTTAAATTTGTTGTACTTGTTTCTGTGCTGCCAATGAAGTTAACTTTGCGAGATAAGTCTTTCACAGGCATGAATGTCTTATGCATGTTAGTTTATGCAAGCAAGAATTGTGTGTGCAAGCTAATTGGAGAATGACCTATCACATGCTGTTTTCAGTGGCTGAAAATTGGTGTGAACATATCAAACTTCCCAGTGTCATTGAGCGCCATTGGATTCCATCTCTGCCTTGGAGGTGAGTTAACATGAGCAACATGTTTGCGGCATTGCAGCTGTTTGTCTGTGCATGCTTGAAATCTCAAACACAAGCAAACACTGTTGTTACCTGGTTTTAAGTGTAATTATGTGGAATTTCTTAGTGTTTTTGCAAGCAGTGAACATCCTAGTGACATAACGTTAAAGGTCACATGCAACGTAAAACACAACTTTGCAGATTCTGATACCTTTCGGTATGGACATACCGAAACAAATCGTCAAAAATGCAAATTCAACTTATAAAGTTGAAAAATAATGCGATGAAAAAAAACGCGCGAAATCGGAGTTCAAACGTTTCACTAATTTTCCCCAGACTTTTCTGGGGAAAACGGGTTTCAACAGCTGGGCTGCGCTCATAGCACGTGCGCAAGTAAATAGGTTCGCGCTGCTTGGAAGCGGGTTGTCGGGTGAATACTCGGTGAACGCTTTGGTGTGAGCTATTTTTCTAATGTTTTGTTGATATCTCACAGGCGTGAGCTTTTTATATGTTATGACAGTAAATTAACTGTTTATATAATTTCATTTGTCTATTTCACCACACGTTCTTCTTACCGAGACACTTTCTCAGTTCGATACTTAAAAGCAATGTCATTATTTAGCGTTGACAGAATTTCTAACTGAGATATAGATATGTCGTTGTCACAGACAAAACTCAATGTCTTGTTTTATTGACACCTGTGTGTCTGCCTGCCTGTCTGCTAATGACAATATTCAATACACAGCTGCTATCACTGACCACATGCAATTTGAACTTAACACCTATCAGGCTATACACCCTAAACAAAATGCATTGATTTATGGCCCGAGTTCGGTCTCTGTCACGTTATGTAATTACACAGACAGGCAGGTGTGATACTTGTACACATGACATGTTATGATGTCTGTTGATTGTAAAATGTTATACACAAATAATGAGCATGTATTTACAAAACCCAACATCTCTATATATACACACACAATGACCCGTGAAGTCATCTGCAAATGAACCAGCCGTTACACTTGAGTGCACACCCACCCGCTCTGACTGGGTTCGGTATCCCGGCTGCTTCGTTTCTTGGGAAGTAAACCGAAGTACACAATATTGCACTTTTGATTTGCGATTGTACGCTTATAATTTTGTTTTTATGTTTTTTCATAACCAGCAATGTATATTATATGTCATGAATAAGTGATAATTGTGTTTTAATTATGTTTGATTTTTTGGTTGCATGTGACCTTTAAAGTACTGTGGGAAATAGGGGGGAAAAAACAACTTTTTTTTTATCACATTTATATCTACAAGTTTTGTAGTTAATGTGAAAGCGTGAAATATCTGTTAAACTAAGTTCGGCCTAACTACAGTCTCAGTAGTAGCGAGATAGGAAACGTAGACAAAGGCCTTTACTGAGGAGAGATTAGTGCAGAAATGAGCAATGCGTCCATGGCTTTATGCAAATTAGTGTGCATGGCTTTATTATATTGTATTACAAATGACATTATTTAAATGCCCATTTTGAAATTAGACTTACCTTCATTATAAACCATAGCGGACATAAAAAATAATTTTAATACTGGAACTATTAAGGATGTAGCTACAATGGAGTCTCGCTATCACTATAAAAACAAACAGGTAGGAGGTGTCATCTCAAATGCAAAATCAGGACGGGTGTCGCAGACGGTGGTTGGGGTTGAGCTGGGGGATAGAGCTACCAGCTAAGATAAGATAATCCTTTAGGGGAATTAAACTGGGGAAGTAAGCAGCATGTCATAACAATTTACAAATATTACCCAGTCCTGTTGATCTGTGGTTGGTTATGCCACCCTTATATTTTGAGACATGTAATACAGTGGCTGATTTAGCTTTTCTATCGGTATCAAAAGCATAAATTGTCTTTGAGATGACCCCTTTAGGCAGCACATGCATTTCAGAGTTGAAAGTCCTTCGTCATAACAGGCTGAGCTACTTTATTGCCACCTATAGTCTAATCTAGTTTTCAGCAGCTATTGGTATTGTTTGCAATAAGTTTTGCAAGACTTTACGAGTAAACATGCTTTTCTGGATATCCTATTACGCATCCCATTGAATGCCCAGTTAGGTCGGTGTGGGTCATTTCAACATAATAAGCTATTTTAGGGATAGAGAGTAACAGCCTAAAAACATTTTTTTCTATTTCTGACAATACTTTAGTGACTGTCAAGCTTGCTGTCAACTTCAATTCGAACTTGAATTTACTTTAAGACAAGAAACATACAAACTGAGCAAATACTTGATGGATCTTAAAAAATGTAAATATCCTTCAGTAGAGCTTCAAAACTGACTTACAAGGTTTCTGGTAAGCTACTGTGACTTGATGGTATTGGATCAGACCTATTTTCAAGACCCCATTTTGCATTGGATAGTGGCAATTTATTTTCATTAATGTCAGATACGTGCGTGTGACAACCTGTTTGCGAGAAGTCACATGAAAGGTTTAATATTGGGGTAACAGATTTGATAATGGGGGTGGTGAAGTAGCCAAATGTTTGTCTGCTCATGAGAGGCAACTCTGAGACTTATCAGTATTAACAAGGTGGTTGTAAGGTATTACATGTTTTATTTATCAGTTTGTGTTGAATACTCCCCAGGAGTTGAGTTGGTTAAAAGAATGCAAGGAAAAAAGACATCCGTTTATCAAGGGAACACTTACGCACCTTGAGCATGTACTAGTTGCGTGGATATGTGCACTATATATAAATATCCTAGCATCATATGAGATATTAACAATATACAGATGAGCTACATTACTGATGCATGTTTCCTTAAAGTCTTTCGGGGCTGACTGTCATGTGATTGTTGCAGCTATCTTTGGCCTTTACTACTGCTATTGGACACAGCTGAACATGTTCCAGACACTGCGCTATCTGGGACTACTAGCTATACCTACATTCCTCTTTGGTAACAAGCTGCTCAGTGGTTTAGCTTCTAAAAGGTGAGTAGTTACATCTCACTGTGCTGCTAGTGAAGTTCACTATGCTAGATACCATACAAGCACAAATATTCAAAGGCCATTTTATTTCCAATAGTGCACTTAGATGATTGCAGGAATCTTCCATGAGATGGAATCAGACAAGGTGTGGGGTAGGATGGCATCAACCTGTGGCAACCTGGTGATATATTTCTGTCTATCCGCTATTTGTTTACCTTCCCAACTTCCAACTATGTGGGAGCAGTTGGTGTTCGCTACAATAGTCTTTGCTAGGTGACCAGCAATGAACACTGGAATGCATTAATCAGGGACATTATTCCTTTTCATTTACAACCAAAAGTATAAAAACGTTTTTCAAAAGATTTGTTGAATCTGTCTAGACAACTGTTTGTCATGCAAAATACATTTCCCATGATACAGTGTAGTACTCTAAAAAGCGGGATATACACAGTTGTTCTTACTTCCACAAACTGAAAAATCAGTGCACCAAATTTCACACTAATAAGGATCTTTTAATACAGTGAAAAGGCAGATGAAAGTCATAGGTTTTTTTCAAGTCAATTGATCAGGTGATAGCCAGTGCTGAGAATGGCTGTAGTAACCACCTTGCCAGCGACAGTAATGCCAAAACTGCATGTAGTGTTCCGCTGACAAGTGTTCTTTTATGCCTTTAGAAAATGATGTTGAAATGGCAGGTGATGTTGTAGAAAAGAAATAAACAATCATTTAAGCAAAATGGCTGAAAGACTGTGTGGCTGAGATGTGATGACAAAACAGGAGTTATGACGTGCATGTTTTGCATTAAATTATGACAAAAGTTAATTTGCTGGTAATGAATGTACCAAATTTTGAAACTTATCCTATCTCACGACTTGCACCTCTCTCTCTTGCTTCTGTGACTACCTTGAATGATCATTCTCTTTCTTGTCGCACGACTGTGTGGACGTGCTGTATATTAGGGACATTATTTCACCCTAACATCATGGGGAAAACAGATAATCAGTCAAGGAAAAGGAGAGTTTGTTCTCAATGCAAGACGAATTATTCGTCCCTCGTCCCTTGACCCTCACTCCTCTTGCAGTGACTGGATTGGACAATGTGACTGGAACAAACGATGTGGCTAGTGTAATTCACTAAAAGATGAGGATTTTTAAGGCCTACCTTCGTGTTTGCTCCCGGAGGATCGCCGATAGGGACAGGAAATCAACAGAATCTGATCCCACTCCTGCCAAGCGTATCAAGTTACAGCGACAGAAAATTGTACCTTCACACAAGAGAGCGACGTCTGTGGTTCAAGAGGATTTTATGGACGCTTCATCAGATTCTTACTTATCTGAGGACGTTCGGCACCTATTTCGTACGCATCAATCACCTCCTTCCATAGCGTCAGATCACTCTCGGGTGGTTGTGATCGATAATTCATCGTTGCCTGTCCCATCTACACTACCAGGGGACCTTAGATTGACACTATCATCATCCAGATCATCGGTACATATCCCCTCGACTGTCTCAGTTTGTTTGGAGCCTGGCCAACTGTGTTCAACCAGCCAACTGTCCCCCCACAGTTCATAGAACCGGACGGAGCTGGCTACAACAGCATCGCTGGGGGGCGTTCATCATGAATCAACACTCAACGGTTTCGTCACCTAATCGCCGATCCAAATCACCACATCATTCTAGATCACCTTCACGATCTAGATCACCTTCAAGATCCAGATCACCATCACAAACCCGATCTATATCACCGTGACGATCAAGATCACCGGATCGATCCACATCACCTGATCAATCCAGATTACCTAACCAATCCAGATCACCGGACCGATCCAGATCACAACATCGAAGTAGATCATCGGACCGATCCAGATCACCGAATGGATCCAGATCTTAACTTCGAATCAGATCACCTAACCGCTCCAGATCACAACATCGAAGTAGATCGCCAGACCAATCCAGATCACCGAACCGATCCAGATCACAACATCAAGGTAGATCACCTAACAGATCCAGATCACCAAATCAAGCCAGATCGCAACTGCAAACCAGATCACCTGTTCGATCCAAATCACCTTATAGATCCAGATCACCACCACAGTTTCCAGTTAGTGCATCAAATCTATCCAGATCACTTTACAAATCCAGATCATCTTTCCAACCCAGGTCACCTATACGATCTAGATCACCTTACAGAGCCATTGACCAATCGGGATCACAGTACAGATCCACATCTCATGGCCGATCCTATTCAGATGGTCGAACCAGAGCTCCAATCAGAACCAGATCACCAACTAGAACTACAGCGACCCGGACTAGTTCTTCATATCATACCGGATCACCTAGCCATCACTGGCTTACCAACCTACTTCAGTACTTACCATGTCAAGATCTCGATACAGTTCCTCATTGATCATTGATCATTGCTCTGATACCACTAATAGGCCTACAGTCTCTTACGATGTTCCGTCTACACGCTCTGAGAATCCTTCGACTCACTCTAGGATCATCGCTGAGTCATGGGAACCTGATAACAATCCCACTCCCACAGCGACTCCGGATCTAAATATGATGATCAGGGCCATAACCTCAGCCTGGAACCAAATACAGCCTTCTACTCCAGCCCATCCGGCTTCGGTAGCTCCTGGCTCTTCATCTGGTCCACCTCCTGAGATTGATCCAGTCCAAATAGCCATGCCTGCATCTCCCGCTCACTCTGAGTTATCTACCCCTGGGGGTAGCTTTGCAGCAGTTGAGACACCTCAGGTACTCCTTTGGATTGTTGAGAAGCTCCAACTTAACTTGAGTACTTCAGCAGATGACCTGGATCACTCTTATACTCTTAGGAACCGGGATTGGTCTACCATCACCCTACCACCTCGACCTTGTATTCTGAAATTATCCAGTACACTAAATGATGGTTTCAAAGCCTGAAACGAATTAAGGAATGATTCTCTGCTCCCGGATATAATCCATCTACCTCTCGTGTCCAGGGCCTAACAAAAATCTCTAAGGCTCCAACAGTTGATGAGGATATTGGAACCCTGTGTGGCAAACAGGCTGCTTCGACCTACCTTATTGAGGACCGAGAGTTGGCTCACATGGATTCAGCTGTGAGAAAGACGTTGCCATCTATTAGTTGCGTGATTGCAGCAGTCGACGCTGTGAACACTGCTCTGGAGCATACTTATTCTGATCAAGACGCTTTCATTCGAGGATGCATGACTTTAGCTCTGGACCAGTTCCAAATTATCCTGGATCAGTTGTCTCATTTTTTGGGCTACACTCTTGCTGTTCACCGACGTGCACCCCTTAACATCTGTTCATCGGAGGAGCGATTTAAAACAGAACTGTTTCTCCAGCCTTGGTTTACTGACTCCCTCTTCAATGCTAGCATCCATGAAGTATCTACTAAAGTTCATAAAGAAACCCACTTTCAAGTCTTGATTGAACTGTTAAAGATACAGAAGTTACAGCTCCAGGACTCATTAAAACAGCGTCAAACTGCACAGTTCACCCCTACCAATCCGGATTTACACAATCTTTTTCGTGGCGCATCCACTCAAGGCTGTGGCAGAGGAAACAGATCTCCAGGCTCAACAGGATCCGATCGTATTGCTTCGCCAGCTACAGTTCACCACCACGTTGCTCAGACAGTTAGGGAGACTGTTAAACATCGCGAAATCGGAACTAATACCTACTCAGACACTCCAATTCATGGGAGCACTGTTAGACACTCGTCAGGGGATGATGTTCGTCCCTCACGACAGGTGGATAAAGATTCAGCAATGCATTCCTCCAGCACTGTCTCAGGCGAGAACCTTACGACAGTGGCAGGAGCTACTGGGCCTCCTGACGTCAGCTCAAGCCTTAACGTACAGAGGCCAGCTCCAACTTCGGCTGATACAGCGTTTTCTACGCCCGTACCTTCAGGCCGACAACCCAAAGGAACTAATTTGCCTTCCAGAACCACTTCATCCAGTCCTTCAATGGTGACTCAACGAACGGAATGTTTGCGCCGGAGTCTCTATGATGCCCTTTGAACGGGTACTTCATATAAACGAGCTGGACTTCAAGGCGGTAATTCAAGCCATCTCACATTGGGCAACAGAGCTTTAATCAACCAGTCTGTTGATCCAATCAGACAATTCGACAGTGGTTTGGTATATAAATCATTTAGGCTCGACAGGCTCGGCGAATCTGCTACAATGGGCGATCAGGTTCTTCAATCCCATCGACTCACTCAACATTGTAGCCAGAGCCAGACATATTCCCGGGGTTAAAAATGCCTTGTTCTGATCCATCCGACTGTCCCCCGGCAGAGTGAAAGTTACTGCCCCAGATCTTTCAGTTGATGATCTACCCATTATCAAGGCCTCAAATAAATCTGTTCGCCACAAGGTTCATCAACCTAAGAAGCCTGGCAGAGCCAAACCCAGTACCGCTTCCCAACAGGGACGACTTACTTCTTCACCCTCACTCGGAACTGTGCCACGGGTCACCTCAGACCCTCAATCTACACGTTTGACGCATCTTCAGAGGTCTCTCATAGCTAAGGGCTATTCTCGCCGAGTAGCCACAGCTATCACTTCAACCCATCGTACTTCAACCCGTGCCTTGTACGACAACAAGTGGAAGAAGTTTGAAGACTATTGCAAGGTTAGGGGAATTGCATCTCCCACTTCCATCTCAGCTCAGGTTGTTGCTGAGTTTCTCCAGCATCTCCGCACTACTGAGAAATTCAAGGGTACTACGTTAGCTACCTACTTAGCCGCCATCAACTCGGTTTTGGCTACCACCACAGGCACGAAGATTTCCACTGTTCCCAAGTTGCAGAGTCTACTACGCTCCTATAGACTCTCTGACCAGTCCAGGAAGTTCAGACCTCCGGCCTCGGATCTGTCCGTCGTCCTTCGTCATATGATTTCTACTGATTATGAACCTTTAGAAGACAAGGACTTCAAACAAGTGACATTCAAGTGGCTACCGCTGCTCTTATATCTGAACTCCATGCGTTTGATGTCAATCGGGAGCGGAAGAAGCATGGCAAGGCTTTCCTGAGTTTCCGCTGGGAATTTATTGCGAAAAACCAACTGCCAGGGCAACCGGACCGGATGTTTACCATTCCCCCCGTTGTCCACCATTCTTGGTCCTGATGATAATGAAGATTTGACACTCAGCCCTGTTAGGGCTCTACACGTTTACCTTGCTGCCTCCAAGCATCGTCGACGGCTACAGAAGCGCCTCTTCATACCCTTGTCGACCTTCAAGAACTGAGGTTTCCCGGACCACATTGGCCTTCTGGATGCGTGCCACGATCCTGCGAGCCTACACTTTTGCAGGGTTGCCTCCTCCAGCCGCTTCCAATCCTCAGACTCGTGCACTAGCCTTGACGATGGCCCTCCTTAGCAACTGCTCCTTGACCGCTATCATGGAAGGTTGCTTCTGGCGTTCTGATACGGTCTTCTCTTCACATTACCTGCAAGACCTGTCTGTCACGGATGTCCAGGGACTACACCAGTTCGGACCTCTTGTACTGGCTCAGCAGCTAACATTGGCCTAACAACACAGATGAGGGATGGTTCCCGCATTCGCGTTACTTCTTCCTTGTATATACTGAATAAAAGTTGAACTGGATCTCAAACTTTTGTTCTCATTATATGGGTTTAAGAACTACTTCACTTGGCCTCCATACCAAGGCATCGGAATACGGCCACCTAGCGTGGCCCTATGGACCTGAGGCACAATCAGTATGACGATGCAGAGGTGTTCGACATTCACGCTTACTGACCTCTACTCCACGGAGCAATTACGTCAGTTAAGTGTGACACTCCCGAATTCCAGTGGATTTCGTTGCGTTCTGCGTCCAAAGTTGCCGGGCACATCCTTTGACTAAGCTTAGGCAGAGGAGTGAGGGTCAATTTGCTGCTGCCCGGAACTGAACGTTAAACCTCGGAGATGCCGAGTTGTTTCTCTTTCACCCTCGGTCGGTGTCTGGAGGGCCTTCTTGAAGCAAGGGCTGGCCCGATTCTAGTCGCAAGACTTTAATTACGGGGGTACCTTGTAAATAGTGGCTAGGCGAGGGCTTCGTGCGGAGTTCTTCCCTTGTCTTATACAAGGTTGCGGCCGAACACCACATCGCTCGGGAGCACCCATCTCCCTGGGAGTCGTTGTGCTTAGTAAGCCAAGGGGTTTCCGGAGAACCCACTACAAGCATAGGAGTTGCATGCATGCGTAACAGGCCTCCCTTGTACATCGCTATCTACGGTTGTCATCAGTCCACACAGCTCCAAGACCAGCTGTTCGCACTGTCCAGACAGAAGGGTAAACTGCGGCCTGCCATCCAACCGTGGGATAAGTGCAAGTCGTGAGATAGGATAAGTTTAAAAATTTGGAAATTTTAATATAAATTGTATATTTATATACTTATCCTATCTCACGCGATGGATGCCCGCCCGGCCTTCCCACTACTCAGATTACAACGTTGGCTCCAAGATGAGAATGATCATTCAAGGTAGTCACGTGGGCAATTAGTGGAGCATGCTGCAAGCTTTATTAGGAACTAGGAAGCTAATTAAGGAGAGCAGCATGGAGTGAACGGGCGAATGGACAAGGAGGCCTATAGAAAATAGTTTACAGTCGTTCCACTAAAAGTCGAAGCAAGAGAGAGAGGTGCAAGTCGTGAGCTAGGATAAGTATATAAATATACAATTTATATTATAATTTCCAATTATTGAGCATCGATAATGTGTTACAAATCATAAAACATGTTGGCCCATTTTGAGATAAATGTAAGCCCACTTTCTGAAACCTGTGTGCCAATTGGCCCAGTTTTGTAAAAAGCGGATGCATCCCTAAAAAAGTTATTGGAAGAGGAACATCAAACAAAGATGTAGAAGAGGCATGTTTTAGGCTGTGTGTTCTCTGATTGAATTGAAGAAAGAAATAGCTATGTGTTGTCAGGATGGGTATATGAATACAGTCACCCCTCGCAATAACGCCCTTTGCAATACCCCAATTTCAGTTAAACCACTGGGTAACCTGTGGCTCCTATAAAAGAAAGTTAATTGTCAACCTGTCTTATATTTAAATATATCCAGCTACGTACCAAAGTGCTAAGTTTATGTTAATTATTATGTTAAATATGTACATAGAATAATTGCATTATGCTCACAAATTCTTTGAAGTTATATTTTTGGATGGTTTTTAACTGAATCGCTGATAGATTAGAGCAAAATGTGTACACAGCTGATTGCTCTTCCGGCTCAGTTGACAATACGAATACATGTCATGTGATGTTTGATTGCAAGTTTCCTGTTCTTATTTTCAAAGTTTGTTTGTTATATAATCTCCGACGATACATCGTTTTGACCGGGCACAATACATGAAATAGCAGTTGTGCTATGCACAAGAAAAATAAGATTTTACTTGGCCTTTCTTCTATGTTATGTATAACGCGGGGGGTCATCCATGGACCCCAAGACCCGTGTTATGGTGATGACTGTATTATGAATGTCAAAACTAATGTCATAATTTATGGAAGTCCAGTTGACATTTTCATGGATCATTGTTTCTTACTGAAAATGGTCCTTCCATGATGTCATAAAGTAAATTCATCCACATGTTCACTGGACCAGCTTAGATGGTTTGGAACAAGTGGTTGAGACAAATCTCATGTTAGACTACATAAGGTTGTTGTCAGAGTGTGCCATTATTGACAATATCATTTTATTTCATTTCAGAAAAACAGCATAGATGACAAGAAGAATTTAGTAAAACATTTAAGATTATTAAATCATGAAAAAAGTCTTACATTTATATGCTGCACATCATTATGTTGACAAATTGTGGAAATGGGTGTTTCCATGTCATGCTTACAATTGTTGTCTATTTCCAAAGTGTCATCTTGCATGTATTAAACATTTTTAATTTACTCCTACCTTGTTGTTTGTATTATTGCTTGAGTTGATGTGATCAAGAAACATTTCAGTTTTGTTATGATGTTGCTTTGAAATGTGGTCACCAGTTGATGATGCTGTTGCAATTAGTTTTCTTTGCAAAAATAGACTTTGACGGGCGGTGTGGGAAGCCTAGTGGTTAAAGCGTTGACTTGTCACGCCAAAAACCTGGTTCAATTCCCCACATGGGTACAAAGTGTGAAGACCATTTTTGGTGTCCCCGGCTGGAATATTGCTTAAAGCGGCGTAAAACCTCACTCAAACCTTTGAAATTGATTAGTTGACACTGAAAGGCAACATCGTATATAGTTCTCTGAGCGGGAGTTTTGATCTTATATGAAAAGATGTTGACAAAGTTTATGGATAGCAACTTTCTTTAATTCACATTCACATCAAACACCAAAAGCACACCATCAGGCTATTTCATGCCACCCGTTTATGATGCACTCCTTTACCAAGCCCAATTAACTGTAGAAACATCTCCTTTTGAAACTACACCCTTTGATTTGTACATCTCTGGCTTCCAGGACTTTCCCTTTGTTAACTGTACTTCACAACTTCTAAAATGCCAATCAAGGAAGTTATCCGCAAAGATATGATCTGATTGTTGCTATGGCAGATGTATTGGTGAGAAAAAGTTGCTGAAGATCTATATATAATAAATACATGTACCATTTACCCTGCCTGTATAGGATGGCGGTGTAGCCTAGTGGTTAAACCATTCGCTTGTCATGCCGAAGACACAGGTTCAATTCCCCACATGGGTTCAATGTGTGAAGCCCATTTCTGTGTTCCCACCGTGATATTGCTGGAATATTACATCCCTGCTACCTACAACCAACTCATCACCAAGCAATCTTAATCCCATTATTCTCCTGTCTGTCATATTGTCATATGACTGGCTTCACTGCCACCCCCACCCAGCTTATTCTGTTTGTGTAACAATTGCCTTCTTGTGTAAGCATCCTCCAACCTTGTACATCAATCACTTATTGTTCAAACTTTACTATGTATATACATAACCTTGCCTTCAGTATTGTATATCACTTGCTTGATAAGTGTTAGAAGCTACACCAAAACTTCACTCATGTTATATTAAATAAAGAAGTTGTATATCCATAGAACTCTCCTTGTGCAATACCAGTCAAGTTAAAGTGCATATTTGCTTGTCAGGTGGTCATGAGTGTGTGCCCAATCAAGTTCAGAATAATGTCATAATGCAGAATTTGGTGAGGAAACTTCATCACCCATATATTCATGATAAGTTCACAGCAGTTGCCTTCATAATTTACTGTAAACAGTTAAATGGAAACCATCTTTGTAATTGGATCAAAATTCTGTGAACCGTGTTTAGGTGATCCTGTCTGGGATCATTAGAAAAACCTGAATAACGGGACTATGATTTACATCTACCACCAGGTAAGGTGATGCTTCTAACATTTACCACACACAGACTATTAGCATTAGAGATTATTCTTCCCATGGGGAAACAGCTTTAGATGGCTCTTGACAATTCTTTTTTCTATGTGACCTTGACCGTTGAAAATTTCAAGAGCTGATTGTGGTTTCACTTAACAGGTTGAAGTCAGCTTTCAGGTTTGTAAACATTGTTATGACCTTTGAGGTAATTGTCATAAGGAGTATCATACTTGAGGTCAGAGTCTGGAAGTACCTCATGTTATTTTAAAACTTCATAAGTTTTTGGAAATGGCATTGGCATTAGTGCAATTATTTCCGACCACATTTCCTTGCAACCAAAGCTGGTATTAGGGATGCCATAGTTCATCATATAGTCATTCAATGTTCACAGACTGCACATAAGCAGTATATGAGGAGTGTGTCCAGAAGTGCAATATTTCAATCTTCCGTCCCAAACCGACGTGACATAATTTCTGGTCCCGGTCATTCTGTATGTTTGAGTTAGAATGGTTCTATGTTTAGAACAAACTATGATTAGAACAAACTAAACTTACTGGTCCCTGTTTGTTCTAACTGCAGTTTACTGGCACTGGAATATTTTGAATGTAGTGTTGAACCCAACTTGCTCAGCTGTGTCATTTAATAAGTTGCTCACTTTGTGCCTGAAGTCCTTATGAGCTAGGCAGGACAGATTCAGGTATTCTGGTAGGTAAAACAGATGTTCACAATGCAAGCACATATTGCAACATTTTATTCCACATAGGCCACAAAACCAAAGTTGTATTCTGTTGGTGAGACTTAGTTGTCACACTTGGAATGTGTTATTTGAGTAGTACTTGTAAACCATGAGGCCACGACAAGGAGATAATGAAACATGCTGTTTCTGCCAACATATTCTATATAATTCCCAAGTTAACCATACATTCTTGACTGTTTCAACATGACATGGCATCACAAGCCAACAAGCCCTGGATGAACAGGTTGGATTCATCACAGTCTCTTGGTTTACAGGTACTCTTTGTGACTAAAGTAATACAAATACTTCAACATGCATGCAGACCTTGGACACAAAGAACCCGGCATTTAACTGACATTATCGTGAATTCTGTAGTATTACACAAGAAGTTACTTTCTTCCCCTCCCAAGTCAGATGTAGCACTTCACTGAAATACAGTGACAAACCGCAACATGAGTGGAGCACAGTAAATGACATGAGAAACTCCTGCAACATGAACCACTTTCCCATTACAAATCTACAACATCTACATATCACATAACAAGGAGTTCCAATATACATTTTGCACCATGTGGCAGAGGATATCTCAGTTGCATCCACTGAGGACATCAAACATACATTCATTAACATCATGGAATCTTCTATAGGAAATCATGTAATAACATAAATTATCATGATAATTCAAATAAATATGTTTGATTTACTATAATTGTGACAAAATACATAACGGTTTGATAAGAATGTCACTCAAGGCTTTGTGCAGTTCATCTTGCATGATCAAGATTTCCAATTTTTGGTTAATGCGTGCATACTATTAAATCAAAAATATTTGCCCATTTACACCAACAAACACACTTAGCCCATCAAGAAGCAATGTACTTGTCAACCAGTGTAGAAATGAGATAAAATGCTTGTTTTGGCTGGCTGTATGATTTCATACAGTTCAAAACATATTTACAGTAAGAGAACCAGCCATGGGTGTGGCATGAGAACCACCTCATCTTCACTTCCAACTCCTGTATTTTCATCAAAGTTCTGAAGGGATATCAACCCATCTGAGACATTCAGTGTTTTGTATGCATACATGAAGGTACTGCAGCCATTTAACACTGGTATCGGACCCTTGTAAGGTGAGACTATATGAAAGGACATAGCAACATGGAAAGAAAAAGACATTTCTCATCAGCTCAGTTTTGAAATCCGACCAAGTTAAGTGTTGGTATTTCTTTTAATATGTGAAGCAGTTGTTGCAAAACGTATGTACAACTTAATTTAGTTTTATTTATAATATTGCTTTACGAATTTCTTTAACACAGATACTATGTCAATAGAAATTGAACAGAAAACATTTAACACCTACTTTTAAGTTGGACACATTTAATGTAACAGCATCTTCTTTTAATTGCATATTCTGCATCTATAAGAAATCCAAAGCAATAGGTGTTAAAGACAAAAATATAATATAACAATCATCCTATTTCAGAAATATACAATTATTTAATGCTGTTACTTCTTGATTTTGGGATATCTGGGAGGAAGGGGAACTGTATTGTACTTTGGTCTGCAACTCTGAAAACGCGTTAATTATGAGCACTCTTATTCTTTCCAAAGTTTATTCAGTTTTGAAAACTGAGCTTGATATTGTCTCATTATAGATTAAACATAAACACCATGTGTTTGCTGTGGTAAAGTGGGTTATCATAGCTAGAATCTTGAAGATGCCAAGTGTAGGGATGTATGACACAGTGTCGCTCAGAGGGGCACCTTCTCCTCTGGGAGGCTCCCAGGAGTTGTGGGGGACTGGACAGCATCATCATCCCCAGCTGACTCACTCAGCTGCTCATCAACACTGGTGCTGGAGCGACTGCCAGATACACGGGCCTGAAACAGTCACTGACAAATCATACTTGCTTTCATGAGTGCAGCACCCACTGCCAGACATATTTGATTGCAACTTATTTTCAAATTCTTAATAATTATAACAGATAAATAAATAATGAAGCTTTGTTAATAAACATCGTCCTTACCAATATTCCATGCGTATGACTGTGAACAATTTCCCAAGCTGGGAAACAAGTCCATCAAGTCACACAGCTTTATTCCCCAATCCATTAGGCAAGGTAGTTAACTGACTATAAAGGTTCACTTTCCACCCAAACTCGACTTGAATTCTGGGGTTATATTTTTTATTTATTTTTTAAAATTTATATTAATTTCCACTTCATGTAACACAGTGCATAGGATGTTTTGCGTACATTTTCTAAGAATAAACATCAATTAAAAAAACTAGGCCTGGTACAGAAGAAAGGCTCAAGCTATTCATGACAATATTTACGCATATCATTAACTGAATAAATATCATCAGATTTTATACCTAATTATATGACATAAAAAGATTTTTTGAGTGATTCAAAATACAGGATATGCTTCGTACCTTTTCCTAAGTATAAACATCAATGATTGCTAGGATAGATAAAGATGACAGAATGATGCTATTCCTGATATCATTTACACATATCATTAACTTAATAAATATCTAAAGATATTATATCCAATTACATGCCACAGTCATAGATACATGTTCAAAAATATTTGGTTCCTTTGCATATATAATGAAATGAAGACAAGAATGCATAAAACTTGTCTTGGAGTTATATTTTGGCTGGACTGCTTAGTCCAATAAATGTGTTACGCAAAGAAACTGACAGACAGTCAACATAGTGCCTGTCATGCTGATTTCAGGCAATTGCAAGATCTGCAAAGCATGTGTACCATTTTCATATTCCTAACGAACATGCTCAAGTGAATTAAGAACATTACAAGGAAGGAAATATTTTATTACAACATAGATCTTGATTATCTATTAAATCGCCTTGACTGGGTGTCATCACAACATAACAGGTTATGAGATATATTCTGGAAATGAATCATACTCTGATGTTCTCTGGACTCATTTCAGTCTTACTGTTTAAGTCAAAATAATTCTCTTTTTAAATTCCAAGCTATCAAAAAGCACCAGTTTACAACTGAAACTATCTGTGCCAAATTTGGTGAAGGAATATTGTTTGGTCTAAAAGATCTGATTTATAAAAGACATCTTGAACTTATACAATTAAGTCCATTTTAAACACCCCTAATAAACACATTTCAGGGGTAACTATTAACTGACAACTACCTGTTATTTGCTGCTACATAGCAAATGGTTCTACATTTCCATAGTGTATGGATGTGGAGTCAACTGAACGCAAAAGGAATACACATGTATCACAATATATTCATGACACATGCTCAGTTTTATAAAAGTGCTAGGTGATTTGTCGGTGCATTGTTTTTTAAGAAACAATCTAAAAACACAGTGACACACCGAGTCCAAAGATATTCATGACATCCATTAGAACAACAATCATGCAAAACTGGAATCTATGGCTAGATGTATATGAACATGCTGATGAAATTAAGTTACTGTTAGCTGTAGCAACCAGACTCTGGACACAGCATCCACAGCAAGGTGTCCCTCTGAGGAGCACTAAGATTAATCTTGATCTGGTTAAATTGTGCCGACAAACGATGGAAACTGTGCACTTAAATCTAGAAGCTACAACATATACACTCACCAAGCGATCCTTTAAATTTTCTATTGAACGGGATGTCTAGAACAGATTCATAAACTATACTACAGGATCTTCTCTGTAATAAAATGGCCTTTGAAAAGGCAGACTTGTCCATAAACCTCAGTCAACATTCTTCTTTGAGAGACATGATACCATAAAAATTTCTTGCTTATGGTCTTTAATGTGGTATGTACTGCGCTGTTACAAATGCCCAAGAAGAGCTGTAAGTGTGATGCTACCCAGTAACACTGAGTGCTCCCAACATCCAGCTGTTGCTGCTGCTACTGCCCTTGAAGACATGCCACATGGAGATTGAGGAATCGTTTGCTGTGTCAGTCTACTTTATTGGGCCATCTTAACTTTACTGTTGAAAAGTATTTGTATTTTTAAAACCAAAAACTTGAGCCCCATTGCTCCCAGTGCATTGTCAGAGATGATTGTTAAAACATGATACTTGTGCTACTATTTCATTATGTTTCAAAAGGGAGACGTGTCTTAAGAAATTAAGAAACCAAATTCAGTGGTATGTAGGAGACATGCTAGTCATGAAGACTTTTATGTGTTGTTAGCTTATGGTTGAAGAAACTATTACTGGTATCTGGGTTAACACATTATGTAGCCCAAGTTTTAGAGGAGGCCTCATACTACTATGTTATGAAAGCATGGTGATGGTTACTTGGTTAGTTTGACATACCACTGACGTACATGCTGATAACTGATGCATTCAAACACAATCAAATGTAAAACACCACTTGACCATTAAATACTCAAAACACATTTAACATTATTGCTTTTTATCATGTCTTAGTAAAAACAATTAAATTCAAAACCTTCTATTTTCTTATGGGCTGTTTAGGTTGTACACTCCCAAGGAGACGTGAAAGCCATTTGAAATCACACTGATGTACACAGTTGACAAGGTTTTAATAATGTAGCACCAGGAGTATGACTAACCCTGTGGATATGACCCCATGACCCCTGAGGGGTATAAACGTTGTTTATACATATAGCATATTACTATTATTGCACTACATGTTTAATGAGTTCACACTTTAAATATATGTGCATTGTACAAAAAAAAAAAGGAAAAACATTATACTTGAGAAGACAATGTACACTCAACACCCTGGCCTCACACACCACCTCTTGCAGCACCCTGACCCCACACAACATCCCTTACAACACCCTTGCCCAACACAACATCCCTTACAACACCCTGGCCCCACACAACATCCCTTACAACACCCTGACCCCACACAACATCCCTTACAACACTCTGGCCAAACAAAACATCCCTTACACCACTCTGGCCCCACACAACATCCCTTACAACACCCTGGCCCCACACAACATCCCTTTACACCACCCTGGCTCCCACACAACACACCTGGCCCCACACCATCCCTTACACCACCCTGGCCCACACACAACATCCCACACAACACCCTGGCTTGGCCCCACACAACATCCCTTACACCACCCTGGCCCACACACAACATCCCTTACAACACCCTGACCCCACACAACATCACCCTTACAACACCCTGACCCCACACAACATCCCTTACAACACCCTGGCCCCACACAACATCCCTTACACCACCCTGGCCCCACACAACATCCCTTACAACACCCTGGCCCCACACAACATCCCTTACACCACCCTGGCCCCACACAACATCCCTTACAACACCCTGGCCCAACACAACATCCCCTTACAACACCCTGGCCCCACACAACATCCCTTACACAACATCCCTGGACCCCACACAACATCCCTTACAACACCCTGACCCTACACAACATCCCTTTACAACACACAACATCCCTACAACCTGGACCTCCAACACAACATCCCTTACAACACCCTGACTCCCCACACAACATCCCTTATAACAACACCCTGGACCCACACAACATCCCTTTATAACACCCTGGCTCCTACACACACAACATGGACCCTACACAACATCCCAACAACCCTGGCCCCACACAACATCCCTTACAACACACTGACCCACACAACATCCCTTACAAATACTCTGACTCCTACACAACATCCCTTACACAACACCCCTGGCTCCAACACAACATCCCTTACACAACACTGGACTCCCACACAACATCCCTTACACCACCCTGGCCCCACACAACATCCCTTACAACACCCTGACCCCACACAACATCCCTTACAACACCCTGGACTCCCCACACAACATCCCTACAACACCCTGACCCCACACAACATCCCTTACAACACCCTGCCCCACACAACAACACACCTGGCTGACCCCCACATCCTCTTACAACACCTCTGGCTCCAACACAACATCCCCTTACAACACTGACCCCACACAACATCCCTTTACAACACCCTGGCCCCACACACAACATCCCTTACACAACATCCCTTACATCACCTCTGGCTCCCACACACAACATCCCTCACACAACATACAACACCCCTGGCCCCACACAACATCCCTTACAACACCCTGACCTCCCTACACAACATCCCTTACACACACACAACATCCCTTACAACACCCTGACCCCACACAACATCCCTTACAACACCCTGGCCCCACACAAACATCCCTTACAACCCTGGCCCCTTACAACACCCTACAACACCCCACACAACAACATCCCTTACAACACCCTGGCCCCCACACAACATCCCTTACAACACCCTGGCCCCACACAACATCCCTTTACAACACCCCTGACCCCACAACATCCCACAACACACAACATCCCTTTACACACCCTGGCCCTGGCCCACACAACATCCCTTACAACACCCTGGCCCACACACACAACATCCCTTACAACCCTGGCTCCTCACAACATCCCTTACAACACCCTGACCCCACACAACATCCCTTACAACACCCTGGACTGACCTCACACAACATCCCTTACATCACCCTGGCCCCACACAACATCCCTTTACAACACTGACTCCTCACACAACATCCCTTACACCACCCTGGCCCCACACAACATCCCTTACAACACTGACCCCACACAACATCCCTTACAACACCCTGGCCCAACACAACATCCCTTACAACACCCTGACCCCACACAACATCCCTTACAACACTGTTCTCACACAACATCCCTTACATCACCCTGGCCCCACACAACATCCCTTACAACACTGACCCCACACAACATCCCTTACAACACCCTGGCCCCACACAACATCCCTTACAACACTGACCTCACACAACATCCATTACACCACCCTGACCCCACACAACATCCCTTACAACACCCTGGCCCCACACAACATCCCTTACAACACCCTGGCCCCACACAACATCCCTTACATCACCCTGGCCCCACACAACATCCCTTACAACACTGACCTCACACAACATCCCTTACAACACCCTGGCCCCACACAACATCCCTTACACCACCCAGACCCCACACAACATCCCTTACAACACTGACCTCACACAACATCCCTTACAACACCCTGGCCCCACACAACATCCCTTACAACACCCTGACCCCACACAACATCCCTTACAACACCCTGGCCCCACACAACATCCCTTACAACACCCTGGCCCCACACAACATCCCTTACAACACCCTGGCCCCACACAACATCCCTTACAACACCCTGACCCCACACAACATCCCTTACATCACCCTGGCCCCACACAACATCCCTTACAACACCCTGACCTCACACAACATCCCTCACTTGACACACCATCCCTATGCTATGCTATTCTTCAACATGCCCCACACACTAATTTTTTATTTGCATTGCTATCTTAATTCTTCTTGCTAGGGCCACCACCATTGCCTTACACCACCCCCATTCCCCCACTCATTCTCCCACCTACAGATACAGCATGAACAGGTGGAGTAAAGACAATATTTACTCTCACCTTGACACTGGCATAGGTATGTCCAACACTCTCTTCAAGGGACTTGAATGTTGAAGAATTCCTGAAATACATATTGTGTCAAAAGAAATTACCACCTTGCTTATAGATATACATTTATTGGAATGTACTTACTATTTTTATGAAATTTCATGAATAATACTGAGTCAGGAATGCAAACTTCACCTATACGTCACAGGGTTATTTAATGCAGCCACATACAGTACAACCAGAAATTATTGAGAATTTAAGATTGTAATTTTTATATTTTTTTCACTAATTACTCACGTATTAAATGTGAATATTAGCAGAACAATAACTCCAGATTCAAAGACAGGTGAACAGTTAGTATTTTGTCAAGTCACCATGTGCAGCAATGCAGGCTTCAATGCGGCGGGGCATACTACTGATCCAAGAAGTTAGAAAGTCGTGGTCCATGCTGTCCCAATATCGGACCATCTCTTCTTTCATTTCAGCAATATTTGTCAGAATTTGCTTATTGACACTTTCCTTCATAAGTCCCCAAACATTTTCTATTGGATTTAGGTCAGGACTGTAGCTTGGCCAATCTAATAATGTCATAATTTGGGTCCGAAACCAGGCCTGTGAATGCTTTGAACAATGTTTTGGGTCGTTGTCTTGCTGGAAAATCCAAACATTTCCATAGAACACGTGAGCGGATGGAAGCAAATGTCCCTCGAGAATATCGGTGTACCACTCACTGTTCATATTCCCTTCAAATACACAGAGGGGCGTTGCCCCTAACACAGATATGCCACCCCACACGATAAATTTCGGACTGTACTTTGGGCGCTGATACAAAGGTTTTTCAGTTTGTTTGGTCCAGAATTTCAGTGTATTAGGAAACGACCACACAGAACTTTCATCTGAGAAAATCACATTGTCCCAGTTAAAATTTCTATGCTGTAAGCACCAGTTCAACCTTCGCTCCTTTTGTTCAGGTTTCATGATCGGTGATGGAATTCCTCGACTTTTCTGCCAACCCATTGCATGCAGCTCAGTTCTAATTGTCTCCTTACAGACAGCCACAGTTCCTCTATCAATCATATCCAGCCTTAAGTTTTCTAAACTCCTTCGTTTGTTTTTAGAAACAAGAATACCAAGCCGCCTCCTGTCACCGACAGTCAATTTTCTGGGCCTACCTGTGCTCAATGCCATATCCATTTGCAATATTTTTCAAAACACAATAAACAGTGGTCAAAGGAATGCCTGTTCTACTTGAAATAACTTTAGCTGATCTGATGTGCTTGTTATAATACTCTAAAATCAACTTCCTCTTCTCTAAATCATCAATACTGAGGATCACTGAAAATGTTGTCTGCTAGCAAGTAAACAAAGGGGGATAACTCTTCACAAACTAATGAAAAAGGATTAACTGATAGCTTGATAGCTGGTCAAGGTTGTATATACTAGAAATCCAATTAAACATATTCCTAAAATTCTCAAAAAATTCTGGTCATACTATATCTTTGTGGCAATGGGACATACTCTATTCTTTTCAAGAAATGCACTTCCAAACATTGTGGGATACAGTATTTTAGAACAATATTTTAAGTGTTGTACATCAAAAACTACATAAAAAACTTTGGTCAACACAAATGTGAAATCTGTGAATACTGCCTCAGTTATACCCATAAATCTTGTAGTTTTGCTGTCAGGACAAAATATAAATCCTCAGACTTTCTCCCGAAGTCATTGTTAACTGTTTACACCACACTCCAATATTCCAGCAATATGGTCAGTGAGGAGATTACAGGAGACTGACTCACCTAAGATCCCCAATTTTCCTGGACACTGAAGAACCAATGTTTGAGAAAGCAGCTGATGTCTTTTCCCCAACTGTCTTGGTTACAGCTGCAGTCTTCTGATAGCTGGAACAATACATAGGAAACATCTGGGTTTACCATCTTACACAGGACTCTTCAAGAACCTTTAATGAAGTACCTTAGAATCAGAAACTAGGGAAGCTCATACTAGAAAAGCTAAAGACCATATTAGCCAAATCCACATTGGCATTCACACTGTAACCAGTTTAAGCAGAATCATCATGGTCTACCCACATACCAAGAAACCTAACAAGTACTCACTGATGGTATTTTACATGGTACACTAGTTGGAACTGTGGTTTCAACGACAAGATCTTTACAGACATGACCTTGAGCTACACACCAGTCAACTTAATTAGATCAAGGAAATGATCTCGGACCTATGGTCAACTTGAGTAGAACTAAAGTGAGTGAGTGAGTGAGTTTGGTTTTACGCCGCTTTTAGCAACATTCCAGCAATATCACGGCGGGGGACAGCAGAAATGTGCTTCACACATTGTACCCATGTGGGGAATCAAATCCAGGTCTTCGGTGTGACGAGTGAACGCTTTAACCACTAGGCTACCCCACCGCCCGAGTAGAACTTAAGAGGTAAAATAACTGGGGCGAACTTCAAGCGCATATTCTGAGTAATAAATGTGTGGAAGAAGATTATCTAAGATTATGTTGAACTACAGGACTTTTTCACACTTGAAGAACAAGACCCAACTTAGATTCATGTTTAATTAATTTTAGTAAGGAAGCAAGTATCTGGTAATTCATAGTCATAAAACACATAACAAGGGGAGTTATACCCTTCAGGAACATCAGACAGTGGCTCAATTGAAGCTGCTCATTTGCCAAAGTTAAAACTACACCCCAATAGTTAAATTACATACCCCATACTACTACAGCTTTGATAAAGACAGAACCTAATGCACATCGTCAAAAACAAACAAACCATGCTTAGCTGTGCAATATTTACCCAAACAATGTGTAACATACACTAATGCTAAAACAATTTAATTTCAAAGAGCGATAAGGTTAAAACGGAGGTATCCAGGTGAACACAATCTATACTATCTAACTTATATGTTATGCTTACAGACAAAATGTGTCATGTATTCAGTGCTGACAATGCATACGTAAACCAGCCTATGTCTTACCGTTTATCATGTTTATGTATCATACATACACTTACGATGATAGTGCAGGAAAAAAAACAGACACAGAAGACGCCAAAGTCATAGATATAATAAGACAAGATGCATTGTGCCTGACCATAACCATGGCACTGAATATTACATTTCACTTTACCAAGATGAATGCATCCTCGCCATAAAATTTGACAATTTATTCTATCAGTTTTATCATTGGTATCAGAAATACATTGTGCAAACTAAGTCATAGATCTATTTCCGAATGAAGCCATTCATTGTCCAGCTTATTTCAAAGATCATGCACGTCTAACTCCAAGATAACACCTGCCTGGTTTGAGTTAGTTCAGTATTACTGTCATCATCCAAACATGACCTCCACAGATCAAACAGGCAATGTGAGGAAGGACCCACCAATATGTTATGTATATGCCCCTTTCTGGCAGGGATAAAGGAGGAGGGTTGTTCTAACATATAACCAAGTACAGACACATTTCTTCTATCAAGTTTCTAAACTTGATACAAAATTAATGTAATGTGAGCAAGTTGGACTGCTTTTCTTTCTTTGGACAGACACAACCCTTCACAGAATCCACAGCCCCACAAAGTCTAGAGATACAGGAAAGAGGAGAAAGCAGGGATAATTTCAGCATTAGTTACTCACGCTGAAGACTGTACTATCTTGTCATTTATTTGATGAAGCTTTTCATTTGTTTTCTGATACCTGCAATAACAGTGACACACTTGATAAAGACAACTCATCATTGATTTGGAAAACGTTAGTCAAAAAGTGACAATCAGAAATTTGTTCATCGCACTGCCACTAGTTGCAAAATTGCCTTCAGTAAACTGAGGTGGAACTGTCACAATAAAATAAGTGCAGCACCAACGTGCTAGGAACAGCTTTTATTGCCTTCAGTAAACTATGAGGTGGAACAGTCACAATAAAATAAGTGCAGCACCAACGTGCTAGGAACAGCTTTTATTGCCTTCAGTAAACTATGAGGTGGAACAGTCACAATAAAATAAGTGCAGCACCAACGTGCTAGGAACAGCTTTTATTCATGTCTTCAACAGAAACAAAATTCTCAATTTGAACAAACTATGACATCATCATCAAAGGACAAATATGCCAAAGTTCAGCTTTCTCAGTCTGTCACTTGAGAGAAGTAGTTTTCAGAGCAAATAGACCTGATAACAGATTTGAAGAGCAAGGTCATATATTCAAAATATCACATAACAAAAACTGAACATATTGAGCCCCACTACTAACTACCCATGTAAAAAATGTCATTCCATTATTAATAGAAAATTGTTGATTAATGGATGTCCATAAATGATGTCTTAAATATGAATGCTGTGGCAGCCATACTGAAATTTTGAACCTCCTGAACAGGTGTCATCATTGGTGGAAACAAGCATGTTACAGCTTCACTGGTTTGGTGGCCTGGGCCCCGTTCCTCAAAGCGATCGTAGCGCTAAGATGATCGTAACTCCCATACTTTAACATAGACTTATAAGGGGGCCCAGGTCTGGTCTGTTTAGAGAGTAAGGAAATGCATTGTGAGAGAACTAAAGAGCATGTTCAAAGTGTAAAGGTCAAATCAAGGCCAAATAATACAATTTCTTAAGAAACAGACGAAACAGAGCCTCACTACATACTAAACAAGTACCAATTTCATTCACATTGAACAATGGCTTAGTATCGGCAATCCTCTTGTGGTCATTACTCCACCACTTCCGCTGAAAATTAAATGAAATTCTGTACTTTTGAAGTTAATAGTGGAGATCAAAGTGCAAATGTCAAATTATGGTCAAACTTAGAAATATATATAAAAAAATGGAACATATACTCTCTTAAAATGTAGGCTATTGTAATATCATTAATGCAAATATTGTATTAAAAACATAGAAAACAGTGTGTAAATTTGCACTTTAGTCCTGTTGACAAATTTTGAAAACTGAAACAAAAATACTGCAGAAGAAGTGACTTTACACATAGTGGCTCCATGTATGGTCACTGTTAGAGGAAATGTCCTTCCAATTTACACGTTCGATAGCACAAGCCTGCCCTTCAGTCGCTACCACTGATGGCTGAAAACATTTCATGGCAAGAAAACTCAATGTAACAGCTTTTCAGACATCAACATTTAAGGAAATAATCAATCACAAATGCTTCACCTTCAACTTGAAACATGAAAATAGTGTAACGGGACAACACAAAAAATGACATGCAAAACTGTCCCTAAATGAAAAACACTGCCACGTTCCTGATGCACACATTCCTGATTCTTATGTACTGAGCACATCCATGTGGTCAGGCCACCTACCTATCTAGTAATATTTGTAGGGTAAACAGAAATAACATCCCTTTTAGATGTATTGCAAAAGCTGCCAAGCATCACAAAGAAGATCATATAGATGCTGCCATCAAGTTTGCACATCAGCCAATGAAGACAATTGTAACACTCTGTTGCTCAAGTGCATAGCTTGATTTGCTGTTGGATCCAATTTTGGGGCATGTGATATCAGCACATTCACTTGGACACAGAAATACTTTCTATGATGACATTTTTCCCCTTGGAAACTGACTTTAAATATCTAGGAAGACTGCTGAATACACAAAAGTTTGGAGTTTAAAGTGTAAAAACTGGATTTCTGTAACAATATCAGTCCAGATTCACATGTCTCGATTCAATGTTCATGTTGGTAATAAAACACATTTGGGGTTGGGTATGTTGTAATATGGGTAGGATCACAGTGACTGCCAGAATGCAACTACAAAAATGTAACTGGCCAGTGCTACAGAGACCACATACTGGCTGCAATAGTTGCCCCTTTGTGTGCTATGCTGGTCCACATGTCTTTCAAGAACTACAACTGCACATTCTACACCTGTCTTCATCCTGCAGCTACAAATCACTAAAAGGCAATGGGCAGGCCATGAGTCCTGACATACACCCATAAAGCAAAGGATCAACAGACATGTAGACAATGTCAAAGGCAAACAAACACTCCCTCAAACAGTTATGTAGACATTGATTCGGACAATACCAATATATAAACAAATGGCTGACTAATGTGGAAGTATGATCCACTATTAATGTATTTCTCAAATGTAGATATTTTACTGCACATAGAATACAGAGTTACCTCCCCTGACGTGTACCTTGTTGGAGTGTGACAGTGATAGTGAGTCCGGTGATAACAACAGTTCAATGTATTTTATGACTGTTTTATGAATATCATACATTCAACGTAAAACGTAATTGTGATATTGATCTTATGTACAGTTTATCATGAAATCAAGTAACTGGTTCAGTGAGAATTATTGACAAATGACTGAAATAGGATTAGTCAAAACGCATGGAATCAATTTTGCACTTTTCTGCATCAAATACTCACATCTGTAGTAAACAGGAGGGATAGTTCAGAGGATAAGTTAAAAAAGAAACATACTTCCAAATAAACTGTATTTCACGATGCATTTTCCAAGCACTATTCTTTTAAAATTCAACAAGGACATGATATACTCAACATTGCTCATTACCAATGACAAATAATAATTTGAATGCCATGTCATGAATGAAAGGATATTTCACAAGACTCAGAAGGGGTTCCTAAAGTTGGACATGAAGATATTATCTATGATGGATTTTTAACAAGTTCAGTGTGACATGTATTTGTCGTTATATTAACATTAACTGTGAACTGCTGCATAGATGGTGAAAATGAAAGTATGTTTACAAGCCCCACACTTCAGGCAACTAATCAAGACACTGTGAAGCCAATGGTCCTCTACATAACCACTACTTACGAATCAGAAGATCTTATCTGCTGAATGCCAGAGCTGACATCTGTCTTGAATTCCTGGAAGGGTGTGATGCCCATCTTCCTCTTCAGTTCTGAGGCATGACGGACCTTGGTTCCCAGCACCTGCTTCAGAGTGGCTATCTCACCCTCAACCTGCCACAGAGTGTGAATTTAAACCATTTTGTGCTGAGCTGTGCAATATATTTCAAACCTATCCGTGCTAACCTTCCTTCTTTATTTATGTTTCAAAATGTAAAAATGATTGTTTTCAGTACACCATCAGTCAATATCATTCACATGATTCTAATAGAAAGAATATAGTTGCAAGCAACGATTAGGGCTCCTTGGCTTTTGTTCTATCTATTGTATTTGAGGGCAAGAAATCATCGTCCAAAACAGAGCCAGAACACGTTTTTGACAGACAAGCGGATCTTCCAAATACAGCCGGGTCACGGCGGTCATGTACCTATTACCGGTAAGAAGTTCTGGAAAAGAAATAGTTCCCTCTTTAAAAGGCTGTATCTTAGTTGTTATTGGGTCTACAGTAAACACAATTACGGTAGTGTTCTGGAATCACCAAGACTTCATCTACCATACTGGCAGATACTTTTGTGCAGAATTTGCACAATGGTTACTGGACATCAGTTATGGAAAGTTTGGAATGTCTAGAGCTGATGGTTTGAGCTCATCACATTTTGGGAGCAAACTACTCAGAAAACTGCTGAAAAACATGGCCAAAAACTGAAAACAAAAATAACTGCCAAACGGTACATTTTAGCGACTTGGCCCATCCAGGCAAAATTGTTGGGAAGTTGATTGTGCATCTGTACAAGAGATTTGGAAGTGATGGAACAATTAGTTCTTGAGATGTTTGCTGTCAAACTTTGAAATTTTGGAATTACAGTCGAACCCCATTTACTCGGACCCCGTATATCCGGAAACCCCGCCTTCCGGACGATTTTTAGGTGAAACGAAACTTGCCTTCAGTAATTGTACTCGCTTAGCCGGACCCCGTGCTTCCAGACCCACACGGAGAAGTTTCAAACCATTCTCACAGATTTCCATTTAAAAATGATCCAGTTACCCGGACGGAAAGATCTGGGCACATGTGCATGTGTACATGTATGTTTCACATCAGTATTGTTTACCGGACGGCTAAGTGTATTCATTGTTAATCTCTCGGCAGGCGTTTGCTGTGAATTGAGTACCAATCAAAACACTAGGGACGCGTGTTAATCTCTCGGCAGGCGTTTGCTGTGAATTGATTACTTACCCATCAAAACACTAGGGATGCGTGTCACTTCAGTTGTGGCATCACATCAGTAACAAAAACACATGTTAATTAGGATTAGGATTAAGCTGAGCCGCGGAATTTGATGCAGCAGTTACCACGAAGTGACAGCGACAAAGTCCCAACTGCTGAACAGTACGTTGATGAAGACACTGTCGTGGAAACCGACCATGAGCTAACTGATGAAGAAATCATCCACAGCCACCGACAGATAACCAGTCAGATGATGATGAACAACAAGCAGTTGTTACGCTAACAGTCTGTTGACCTTCTACGAATGTACTGGAGACGAAGGTTCAGTGACTTTATTGATGGACTTGGTGAAGTGATTTGAAGAAATAAAACCAAGGAAGCAGACACCTATCAGACTTTTTACTGACTGACTGAGTTTAGTTTTACGCCGCTTTTAGCAATATTCCAGCAATATCACGGCTGAGGACACCAGAAATGGGCTTAACACATTGTGCCCATGTGGGGAATCGAACCCGGGTCTTCAGCGTGACGAGCCAACGCTTTAACCACTAGGCTACCCCACCGCCCCTATCAGACTTTTTAAGGAAATAATGTGCTATATAATAATGTGATATGTGATATCGAGTCAAGTAAGATGTGCTATGTAAAATGTATAACGTGAATCAACGTGCTGAAAGAAAGTTTATTGGTGTGATATTGAATATGGTATTGTTATGATTATATATTTTTGACTATTGACTTATTGATATACATACATGAATAAATTTTCAATATACATTGTCAATGCGTTTAGCTTGTTTGATCCAGTTAACCGGACGCCTCGCTATCCGGACGATTTCCAAGTGTAACCAAAATGTCCGGATAAACGGGGTTCGATTGTAATTTTGAATTATCTCCCCTTTGCTATTGAGCCTAGAGCCTAGAGATTTTTAAGGGGAATATCTTCACCTCGGTGGGCATCTGTGTGATTTTTTGTAAGCGATTCAGAGCATTGGTTTAGGAGGTATGTTTGGTACAAAAATCGGCGGAATAATAGATAATAATAATAATAATAATAATCCGAACAATTACAATAGGTCTCCTGCCTAGAGGCAAGGAGCCCTAATTACACATAAAATTGTCTGTACACATTGGCAACAAATGAGCTCAATAAGTCAATTAAGTGTTGCCTTCTCACCGTCCCACACCAACTGAGCTCAACACTTCCAACAGTTGTCAGGCGGTGGGGTAGCCTAGTGGTTTAAGCGTTCGCTCGTCGCATAAAGACCTGGGTTCAATACCCCATGTGGGTACAATGTGTGAAGTCCATTTCTGGTGTTCTGGTGTCCCACCCACCCGTGATATTGCTGGAATGTTGTTAAAAGCGGTGTAAAACTAGACTCACTCCCTCCCACCACCCCACTCCAACTGAGCTCAACACTTCCTCCAAGTGTCCAGCTTCCATCACCCCACTCCAACCGAGCTCAACACTTCCACCAAGTGACCAGCTTCCACCACCCCACTCCAACTGAGCTCAACACTTCCACCAAGTGACCAGCTCCCACCAACCCACTCCAACTGAGCTCAACACTTCCACCAAGTGACCAGCTTCCACCACCCCACTCCAACCAAGCTCAACACTTCCACCAAGTGACCGGCTCCCACCCCCCACTCCAACTGAGCTCAACACTTCCACCAAGTGACCGGCTCCCACCCCCACTCCAACTGAGCTCAACACTTCCACCAAGTGACCGGCTCCCACCTCCCCACTCCAACTGAGCTCAACACTTCCACCAAGTTACCAGCTCCCACCAACCCACTCCAACTGAGCTCAACACTTCCACCAAGTGACCAGCTCCCACCAACCCACTCCAACTGAGCTCAACACTTCCACCAAGTGACCAGCTCCCACCAACCCACTCCAACTGAGCTCAACACTTCCACCAAGTGACCGGCTCCCACCAACCCACTCCAACTGAGCTCAACACTTCCACCAAGTCTCCAGCTCCCACCAACCCACTCAAACTGAGCTCAACACTTCCACCAAGTGACCAGCTCCCACCAACCCACTCCAACTGGGCTCAACACTTCCACAAAGTGTCACCTTCCCACCACCCCACTCCAACTGAGCTCAATACGTCCACAAAGTGTCACCTTCCCACCACCCCACTCCAACTGAGCTCAATACGTCCACAAAGTGTCACCTTCCCACCACCACACCCCAATGGAGCTCAACACTTCCAGACCCGTGAAGATCAAGGGTTAGAATTGATCTTCAGTAACCCATGCTTGCCGTAAGAGGTGACTAATCGGATTGGGTGGTCAGACTCGCTGGCTTGCTTGACACATGTCATCGTATCCCAATTGGGTAGGTCAATGCTCATGCTGTTGATCACTGGGTTGCCTGGTCCAGACTCAATTATTTACAGACAGCCGCCATATAGCTGGAATATTGCTGAGTGCGGCTTATAACTTAACTTACTCACTCAACACTTCTATCTGAGAATGTGATGAATAAGTGAGTGAATGAGTTTAAATTTTGCAGCTTTTAACAATAATCTTTTAACAATATCACGGCATGGGACACCAGAAATGGGCTTCACACAATGTACCCATGTGGGGAATCGAACCCAGGTGTTCGCCGTGACGAGTGAATGCTTGTTTAACCACTTGGCTACCCCACCGCTCCAAGAATGTGATGACTACCGTACCTTGAGCAACTCCTCCCTCCACTCAAGCATCTGCCTTTCCCTCTCCAGGGGGTCCTGGTACACAGGCGTGTTGGCATCAGACTGTGCAGCAGCCTCATATGTGGGTGACGAGAGACTATCATCATCTACAAACAAGAAAAGTAGTTGTTTCCATATCAGTCCAATAATTGGTACAAATATAACCCATTTTTCGGACCACATTTGATGATACTATGAATTATAAAAAGAAAATATAGTTGCGGGCAACGATGAGGTCTCCTTGGCTTGGCTTTACTTTCTATCTATTGTATCTGAGGGCTAGATATCATCGTCCAAAACGGAGCCAGAACACATGTTTTGACAGGCGAGCGGATCTTCCAAATACAGCCAGGGTCACAGGGGTCATGTACCTTTTAAGTAGTTCCGGAGAAGAAATAGTTCCCTCTTTAAAAGGCTGTATCTCAGTTGTTCTTGGGTCTACGTTCAAAACAATTAGTGTTCTGGAATCACCAGGACATCATCTACCACACTGGTACTTTTTGTGCAGAATTTGCACATTTTGGGAGCAAACTACTCAGAAAAACTGAAAACAAAATAACTGCCAAACGGTACGTTTTGGCGACTTGAGCCCAGGCAAAATTGTTGGGAATTGATTGTGCATCTGTACAAGAAATTTGGAAGTGTTGGAACAATTAGTTCTTGAGATATTTGCCAAACGTTGAAATTTTGGAATTAATTTTGAATTATTTCCCTTTGCTATTGGGCCAAGAGCCTAGAGATTTTTAAGGGGAATATCTACACCTGGGTGCGCATCTGTGTGATATTTTGTTAGCGATTCGGAGCATTGGTGTAGGAGTTATGTTTGGTACAAAAATCGGCGGAATAATAAATAATAATAATAATATTAATCCGAATGATTACAATAGGTCTCCTGCCTAGAGGCAAGGAGCCCAAATGAATAAACACTGAATGAGTTACAGATTTTTGTTTGCAGACATGGTGAAAGGGAATCTTCTGAAAAAAATAGCATAATGCTCAGCATTTTTTCTGTTCTCTGCCAATAAACTAATGACTTTGCATATCAGTATATCTTTGAAAGAAACAGTTACCTGATGAAAAAACGTTTCTCAAAAAAAAAACCAAAAAAAACCACAAACATAAGCCAAGATCAAAGCAGCTGTCTGAATACCATGAATACCAAAACAGCATAAAGAATGTACTTGCTATCTACATGCCATCTATGGTGATCTAAGCACCCTGACCAAATGAGTTTGGTCCTCCATAACCTTAAAGGTCACATGCAACGTAAAACACAACTTTGCAGATTCTGATACCTTTCGGTATGGACTTACCGAAACAAATCATCAAAAATGCAAATTCAACTTGGGGGAATTGAAGTGGTTTCAACAGCTGGGCTGCTCTCATAGCACATGCACAGTGAAATAGGTTCGCGGAGCTTGGAAGCGGGTTGTCTGGTGAATATTCGGTGAAGGCTTTGGTGTGAGCATTTTTCTAATGTTTTGTTGATATTTCACAGGCACGAACTTTTTATATGTTATTACAGTAGATTACCGATTTAACTGTTTATATAATTTCATTTGTCTATTTCACCACACGTTCTTCTTACCGAGTCACTTTCTCAGTTCGATACTTAAATGCAATGTCATTATTTAGCGTTGACAGAATTTCTAACTGTGATATAGATATGTCGTTGTCACAGACAAAACTCAATGTCTGTTTTATTGGCACCTATGTGTCTGCCTGCCCGTCTGCTAATGACAATATTCAATACACAATTTCAATCACTGACCACATGCAATTTGAACTTAACACCTATCAGGCTATACACCATAAACAAAACGCATTGATTTATGGCCCGAGTTCCGTCTCTGTCACATTATGTAATTACTACAGACAGGCAGGTGTGATACTTGTACACATGACATGTTATGATGTCTGTTGATTGCAAAATGTTATACACAAAAAAATGAGCATGTATTTACAAAACCCAACATCTCTATATATACACACACAATGACCCGTGGGGGCATCTGCAAATGAACCAGCCGTTACACTTGAGTGCACACCCACCCGCTCTGACTGGGTTCGGTATCCCGGCTGCTTCGTGTCTTGGGAAGTAAACCCAAGTACAAAATATAGCACTTTTGATTTGCGATTGTACGCTTATAATTTTATTTTTATGTTTTTTCATAACCAGCAATGTATATTATATGTCATGAATAAGTGATAATTGTGTTTGATTTTTTGGTTGCATTTGACCTTTAACATTGACATTAACTGCTTGAAGTGGCACCAGTTTGCATGTGATATAACGTCCCCATGGGTTGTACCAATCTAGCTGACCCAACTGTGATGGTTGAGGGTGGACACTCTTCACTTTGCCTTCTGCAAACATACCTCATTGTATGCTTTAGTGCAATGAACCAAGCCATTATCTACAAATGAATCATGGGCATATGCTTTCTGATAGTGTTATCATCTGTCACTGAAATGCCTCACATAACAGTGTCATCATGGTGTTACGACATGACATCTTCAGTTGATAAATTACAATGTACACGCTGATCAACATTTTCCAGTTTGCTATCCTTAATATTAAATTAATACTTAGAACAACATCAATCACTTCTCAGCAATGCCTTTGAGTTTCTCATATCTGACACCATCCATTACCAACAGAGTACCATAATATCTGTCACCTTCCTTCAACAGTAACTGCCACCATGTGAACACATAAACAGATAACATCTACATATTGGCATCAATTGAATATTCACCATGTGAATATTTTACATTATTAGCAAGGACAAGAATAAATGCAATGATAACAATAGTTTATATTTCTTGGTGATAAGTCCATCAAATTTAAACAATTTTGAATCATTGTAAAGCGTGTGATTGTCAGTCAAAATATGTCATTTGTTATAACCACTTATTTGGACATATAATGGTAAGTTATTTGCTGAATATAGGCTTGCAACTTTTCTGTTTCCTATGCAACAACTGTAGTGATCTGCAGTGCCATACTTGGTAGACCTGCAAGACCATTGTCAAGTTAACTGATGACATTTTACCCTGGTGGTATCAATGTATTGAAATTGAAACTTCCTGCTTTCAGTGTTGATCTTCCCTCATGTGTTGTGTATAAAAGTCAGGACATGGTCGTTTGGTCTGGAGAATGAAGTTGCAAAGTATCAACACAAGATGGTTACAAACATGGTTTACTAATCCAAGGTAACGGATGACGGCTGAGATCAAAGGTTACCATCAGATGTTAAACAGGTGTATGTGTGACGAAGGTTGTGAACACAATGCAGCAGAAGTATTACATTGGCTGATTTTCATCATCCAAGGCAAACATCACTGTATTGTCATTTCAACCATTGACTTTGGTCGGCCACAAAATCCAGCTTCTACCATTATGATAAACAAGAACCACACTGCGATGTGTTTTTTTTGTAATAGATGGCTTCTGTCTGGCATCTTTCTGTCTGAAAACCTTTGAACATTGTTAGTGTATTTGTTCTCCCTGGACATCAATCACAAGGTGTAAATGTACTTCAAGATATGTAAGTAAATGAAAACATGTCTTCCACATGCTGACACATCAAGCACCAAATGCCTGCTTATATGCCGCTATGTCCCAATTGATACCAACTTTCAGAATCACATTAAGGACTGTATTTGTCCTAACTTTGTATGCTCACCTAAACCATTAGAACGTAACTCGGGATCAAAGTCCTCCTCATCATTCTCATAGATTGAGTCTGAGTGGACAAGCTTCAGGAATTTGTGGTAGTTAGTGTAAGAGCTGATCACGGGACGGTAGTCCTCCTCGCCATCCCCACTCCTCTCAGCATCTACCTCAGTCATGGCAGAGTCCAACACTAGTAGAATAATACTTTCTTGTGTATGTACAGACTGCTGGAGCCAATAAAAGTTTGGGTAATACAGATGTAAAACACTAATGAGATTTACATGCATGAACACTTGGTGGGATAACTTACACTATGAATACATGATCAATCTGATTAATAGAGTTCATCCACTTTAGATTTCTGTACATGGATAAAAGGATAGGGCAAAACTTTCATTACACCATACTTTAACAATACTGGCGAAATGACTGTATAGTCTTCATCAACGTGGTGGGCACATTAAACTATTGATACAAAACTTGGGAGATGAGAAGGCCTTCACTCATGTCATTGTTACAGATGAATTGTAGTGATCATTGATATTGACACAGTCAATCAATCATTTCCTCAGAAGTTGACTCTGCACAGTGAAACAAACTTTGATGCAATGATGACCTACTTCTAAAATCCATTAATTCAATCCAGCCAGTAAATCCCACACAATGGTCACAGGTGTCTCGGTCACAACACACTCAGATCCCATGCTTGAACAAGCACTGTTCCAAACATATTTCCTGGTTGTTGCTCCACTTGAATAAAGTCGCCTCGTTAATCTCTCAGTCAACACATCATCAGCATGTGATTGGTAAGGAAGATACCGGTATTCACTTCAACCTTGTAAGGCCTCGTAAAAGAGAGCAGACAATCCAGGGACAAGCAGCAAGATGCTAGCAGTTCAAACAGCAGGTGAGCCAGAACACAAACGTATTGACCCGTAGCTCTGATAAAAGGTTGTGCGGTGGCGTTAGCCACGTTGACTGTCAGAGTGATTGCGATCCCTTGCCATACACCTGGCAGTTTTACCAGTCGATGATGTCATCCAGCCTGGGGTCATAGGTCAGACAGTGTACACACACCTTGGGCTGTAGCTTAGATTTGACTCCTGCTGCTGTCATATTACACTGTTTGTACCGCTGTTTCTATTGTTCTTTGCCCTGCTCATAACCAGACCTGCCGCATGTGGTATTGTTTAGCAGACTACAGTCCGTTTGAGTCAGAAACGGACCGATGTATTGCAAATTTTATCATTGCACAAAATTGCCACATAAATATAAACAGTACACATGTTTATCATTTACTAATACCCAGCAGCTTTCTTATATTGAAAATTTTCCGGACTCCACCAAAATAGTTGTTTAAGAAACTATCATCATTGAAAACGCAAAAGTTGTTATCTGTCGCGGCAGGGTGAAACCGCAGAAACGTAACAGCCACTATCTCGTGCACGGGATACACATGCCTGATGAAAAATGAAGTTGAATGCTGACGTGAAACAGTTGATGATTAAAGTGTACGATTTTTTCCGTGCTGAAGCCGAAAGGGGCAAACCATTTTATGCCATTCATAAATTCCGTAAGCGGGCAGCAAAAGCTTTAGGAGTATCAGCAAGGGTACTGACAAATGTTCTGGAACACAAACATTGTGAGGGTGACATTTGAAGCAGGTAGGGTCGTGTCAAAATCACACAAATTAAAACATTTGGACAACTTTCAAAGAACCTTGTAAGGCAGTCTATCAACAAGCTCTATTCTGAAAACAAATACATGTCGCTGAAAATTTTAAAAAAGCATTTGAAGCAAGAACACAACCTCAGAGTATCAAAGTACACACTCTGGCGACTCTTACACTCTTTCAGGTATCGTTATAAGAAAATTTCAGGAGAATAGGTCAGTACTCTGTGAGCAGCCCTGATATCGTTAAACGAGAAATAATTTTCTCAGGGTTATAAAGAAGAAGGGCGAGGAAGGGTTCGAGCCAGTGTACTTGGACGAGACCTGGGTCAATGCCTCACACACTGCCAGCAGTCAGTGGGTACCCGATGGGGGTGATAAGGGGTCACGTAGAAAGCTGCCTCTAGGGAAAGGAGAGAGACTAATCATTCTCCATGCTGGTTGCTACAGCAAAGGCTTTCTCCCTGGCTGCGACTTGGTATTCAGGGCAAAGTCCACAGATAACAGAGACTACCATTCTGAGATGAATGGTGCGGATTTCCCAATTGGGTTAAAAACAAGTTGGTACCAGCTCTACCAGAGAATTCTTTTATCGTAATGGACAATGCCCCATACCACAGCGTGCAGGACCCCGACAGTAAAGCCCCGACATCGAACAGTCGAAAAGGTGATATGATATCATGGCTCGACAAATTTCAGACCGCACGGCCTTCAAAGGCAACGAAGCCTCAGCTATATGAGATCATAACAACCCACAAAGGTGAACCTTTCTACAAAGTTGACAGTTACATAAAAAGTAAGGGTCACGATATTCTGCGACTTCCACCCTATCACTGTGGCCTTAACCCCATTGAAATGATATGGGGTATTGTCAAAGGAGATGTTGCCAGATCAAACACAACTTTTAGATTACGTGACGTAGAGGTTTTGGTTAAGGAATCCCTTAACAAAATCACGACTGAAACTTGGCAAAACTGTGTCAACAAGGTAGCTAACGTCATTGAACAAGGTTACTGGTTTTGGGATGGCTTACAACAGGCAACTGTGGCACCACTTGTCATCCCTTTAAGTCGTGACTATGACACTACGACAGACGAGGAACCGACAGGTCTCCCGGAATAGATTTTGAGATGTCCCCCACCATGACTGGCTGTTCCGTTTCTGCGGTTTCACCCCGCCGCGACAGATAACAACTTTTGCATTTTCAATGATGATAGTTTCTTAAACAACTTTTTTGGTGGAGTCCGGAAATTTTCAAATATAAGAAAGCTGTTGGGTATTAGTAAATGATAAACGTGTACTATTTATATTTATGTGGCAATTTTGTACAATGATAAAATTTGCAATTCATCGGTCTGTTTCTGACTCAAACGGACTGTAGCAATAATCCACCTCCAACATACATTGTCCCTCGCTGTCAAGTATCTGCCTGTCAGTATAAGATTCATATCATGTGCAAACACTTGTTCATATTTCTAGTCATCATTACATCAGAATGATTTTCTGTTGTGCATATAAAAGAAACATGATCATGGCTGCAATTGTAGATCTTTACTCTGGATTGTAATCAATACTTACAATAAAAGTAACAAACAAGTGAACTTGCATCTTATCGAGCTCATGTAACAAGTCGGCATCAGTCTTCGAAAATAAAGTGGGTTATTGAGGTCTTCCACCATGGTTATTGGAATCTAGGAACAGCCTAAATCTACTGAGTTAACATTTAGCTGCTCTGGATTATGACACAGTTTTATTGTACTACAAGTGCAAGTCTGAGAACTGGAGTTTGGGCTGGTACAAAAAAAACACTAATTAATACAGGTGGTCTTTTTTTTTTTGCACACAATTTGTTTTCTAAATCAACAAAGGGGTAGGTAGCGGGGAAAAAGGTCAATTCAAACTTATGTTTTATTGCATTCTCCAGAAAGTTACATGAACCACAGGCAAATTGTAGCGCAAATAGGGAAGCACAACAAAGAGAAAATGACCAGTCTTCCAATATGTGAGCGAAGCGAGCAAAGGTTGGCAACGTGCTTCCCTCGCTTCGGTTCGAAAAATATTTTTAATATCAAAATAAAATATCGCCATCATCAAAGATAGACACCCATTTCCTCACGGAGTTGTGCTCTCAGATTTCCAACCCCATATTTGATGATTACTCACGTACAATATATTTAATTCAACATTTTAAGCTAAACTTGTGGCATGTCAAATGCCTCCATTACCCTGCCAGCTTCCCAATGTGTATGGGTCGAAAAACTTCACACTTTGCATACATTTTGCATACCGCATCAGCTACCCACTGTACTGAATTGCATGTATATAGCCTAATCAGCTAGAATATGATTTGAATACCTTTACAAAGAAAATATGCTCCAGGTTAAAGAGATGATAATCAAACATCTAGTGTAAGACTAAAATTACCAGACTGCAAAACGTCAACAAAACATGACCTGAAATGAACCAGTTGATTCCACTGCCTCGCTTCTAATGGCCAACTGGTGATTCATTGTTGCAATGTAACAATCATTCCTGATGTATCATGAAATCACTGAACAAATATTTCAGGACATAACAATTGATATATGTAAAGGAAAAGATATACTGTCCATGCACCAACATGAATGTTACAGGTAAAGGTGAAGGCTATACTGCTTATCTGTCTCTCAGTGTAATATTAACACGTACAGCTCCCATTGCGCATACAGCATGTGCTGTCAGTTTAAGGTTGGACCGTCCAGATCAGCGCACCTTGCAGGTTCATGAAGGGAAGCTAATTTGGAAAAGATCACCCATTAACATCATAGAGTTTTAAAGTGAAAAAAAACATGCGACTTAAAACAACATTGGAACGAACAAAAGAAAGCCTAAAGGAGATCAACAAAATTTGTTTCAATTTCTATTTACGATTGTTAATCAGGTCTATATGGCAACAACTACCTGAGTCGAAGCCTTCTCTATTGTTTGATAGCATAAGCAGAGATCCAAGCCAACACAAACATACATTCTGCCCAGGTATCACCACAGGACATTTCAAGTTAGTAGCTGTAGATTTGTTCCATGTTACACATGTTATATTTGGGATTACGCTTTCTTAGTAATGTACAGATTCTAAAGTAAGGCCAGAAATGCTTGGAAAATGCTTTTTGGCGTCAATATCAATATGATGAATTTGACACAAGATAAAAGCACATATATACCTAGTATACGACTCTACCTAGTTGGATATTAAAGCTCAGATGAAAAAATACACTTGTGGGGTGACTTCACAGGAGGACATTTTGACGTTTTAACAACATAGTAAATATTCCAAGTACAAACTGTAGTTTTGAAATACAGACTATAATTATTCATATAGCCTCAACTAATTAAATTACATAAATGATTGTGAAAGTTTTGTTTCTTTTAACATCTATATGTGAAAAAGATGGAACTGTTGTAGCAGTTATATTCAAAATAATTACGTAAAAAAGTCTTAATTCAAATCGCATAGATAATCTTGTTCACCCATAGAAGTTTCACTTTGTGTATGAGCATTGAACTGGCAACATGCGACTTGATATGTCTCCAGAACAATTAATTTCAAATTTATACCAATATTTCATACTGGAGAAACAAAAGGGGAAACCTCTCGTCAGCTATGACAGGGTTTACTATAGAATGTGTAAATCCCTTAATTTGACATATAGTCAGGTTTACAAAATTGTAAACAAATCAGTTACCTCAGGGGTTGTGTCAAAATCAAAACCAGGTAGGAAACACAAACTGGATAGCTTTGATAAGGGTGTCATACGCCATGCAGTTCATAAACTGTATGAACGCAAAATCCCACCGACGTCTGCTAAAATACAAGATGAGATCAAATGTACAATAGCTCTGGTAGAAATGGGGTTCAGGTACACCAAAAGGGGAGATGACAGAGCTGTGTTTAGAGAAAAGTACTCAATCCTGACCATGCGATCAGCTTATCTCAGAACAGTTGAAGAATACCAAGAATACCGCAATTTGTGGTTTCAAATTATATACCTTGATGAAACCTGGTGTAATAAAAATCACTCAACCGATCAGATGTGGCTTCCTTCAGATTGTTCTAATGCACCAGTGTTACCATCAGGCAAAGGTAGACGCCTGATCATCTTGCATGCTGGTACCAGTAGCAAGGGACTGATTGGGGGTTGTGACTTTGTTTTTGAGGCCAAAAAATCTGATGGTGACTACCTTAGCGAAATGAATGGGCAGGTATTTTTGGATTGGTTCGAACATCAGCTATTACCGCAGCTGGACGAACGAAACATTATCATTTT